TATTGCATTCCCTTTATGTATGAACACTTTGCAAAGATTGATCTGTGTTGAATTGTCACATATATGGCATTTGCATTTATGTTAGAAGACTTTGAAAATATTGCATTTCCTTTATGTATGAACACTTTGCAAAGATTGATCCGTGGTGAATTGTCACATATATGGCATTTGCATTTATAACAGAAGACTTTGAAAATATTGCATTCCCTTTTTGTATGAACACTTTGCAAAGATTGATCTGTGGTGAATTGTCACATATATGGTATTTGCATTTATGTTAGAACACTTTGAAAATATCTCATTCCCTTTATGTAACACTGCAATTGTTGCATCTCCCTTTATGTACGAACACTTGAAAAAGATTGATCTGTTGGGGATTGTTACATATGGCATTTGCCTTACTGTAAGAACTCCTCGCAAATATTTTAGTTCAAGCAGACATTTTGCATGTATGTTTGCCTTTATTTAAGAACATTTCGAAAATATCGCATCTCCCTTTATGTAAGAACACTTTTGCAAAGATTGATCTGTGGGGAATTGAATTATGCCATTTGCCTTTATATAAGAACAATTCGCATGGCATCGTGAGCAATAAAATAAAACTGAAATATAACATTTTATAGTTTTAAGAACATCATTGCCCGGCAATATGAAAAACCAAGGTACTATGAAATAAATTTTTACTGAGTTTCAGTTGCTAAAGTTTCATAAAAAAATATATTATATTTCAATTTTATCATGAGCTCGTTGCTCGCGAAGTCAACTGAAACTGGTTTGCATATACCTGTATACTGGACCTTGATACTCTCTGTGTATGCTTCATATGTCACATACAATAAATATTCGACTAAACCTTTAAACATAATTTTCTGTTTTTTTCTCAATGTTCACTTTTTTGTTAAAGGTGCAACAATTAGTGAAGGGGGGGGGGCATCCAGCGATCATCGACCAGTGTCAAAATATATTTAAGTTTGGATATTTTATCAAGACTAACATATATTTCTATTATCTTCAAAGAAACCCCCTGGATGAACATCGTTTCAACTGAAATTCCTCTTGAAACTGGTGGATCTAAAAAATCTGAGTGGGACTCCCTCTATAGAAGCTTTGAACTGAATTTACACTTCTCAATGCTGAAAGTGATAGTTTGTTTTTTTAAGAGAAAAGTATGTCACAGAAAATTTCAAGCCGAATATTGACCCGATAGCATTACAGCGCATAAAAGGATACAAACAAACAAACCAGTCTCTCAAAACTTCATCTAAAAGTATTACAAAAGTTATGTGCGTTACACTGAATTCCGTAAACACTGTCTAATTTGTTATTCAAACCTGTATGCGTTACTCTTCCCCGTGCTTTCATTTTTCCTGAAGTTAACCATCTTGACTGACGTTAACTGCAGTTAGAGTCATCCAGGTGTGGAACATTGTTAATGTAAGCGAGACTAGAGACCTGAGACGAGAGAACACAAGATGATCGTTACAATGGTGTGACAAGATATAACAGAAAATACGTAATAATATCCCTATGCGTATTAAGTGCCTATATTTAATCAGTGTCTAAAACGGTTTGATTTGAGTACTTTTACAGTCCAAATCACGCAAATCCCTTGAATGTCCCGCTAAATCACGCGAAGTTAGTGAATGTCCCGCATAATCCCGAAGGTATTTGATCAAAATTTGGCCTATTAGCGCAATCAGGCAAATCCCTCTAATGTCCCGCGAAATCCCGCCAATTTAGGTGGATGTCCCGCGAATTTTGGGCACTGGGTCTAAAAAACTGTCCCGCGCGAAAATTTTCGGGGGTTGACAGTACTGGAACTTTTAAGGGAAAATATAAAGGATTTTTAGAGTTTCAGACAAGGAATTGAGCACAATGGCAAAATTACCTGAAAAGACGTGTTGCTAATGGTAATTTTGTACTTCATTTTGATCTCTATATACTGCTATATCTTGTGTTCAGCTAGCTCCTTTTATTCCTGTGTTGTTTTACTATGTTATTCCTGTTTTTGTGCGATAAACTTTCAACGATTTCTCATCAAGGTCATCACGCATCTGTGATTGTAAGCTTTCATTTCATTGGTGCAAAGTTTTTCACATGCTTTATAGTACATGAGCGTTGATTGGTTGGATTTTCTGGCGGCTATTTTAAAAGTTGCTTTAGGTAAGGAAAGCAATTAAGGCATAGATATTACACAAGGTTTAATATCTACTTCTCAATCTCAATGTACAACATTTTGACAATCTTTTCTTAATATGTTTAACTTCAAAAATAAATCAATATTGATTATCTAACTAGGTTAAAAGGAAGAACATATTATGTTTTAGATATTATTGTACCATTTTGGTACAAGAACTAAAATTTCGAAATGCATTTTTCTTTGAACCATGTTCATGCATTGATGAGTTCATTTCTCGCTTGTTTATGAACCGATTTGCTATGCATTGCTATGAATTATCGCTTCCTAAATGGCGTAGAATAATGGAAATAGCGTCATGAATCCCGGGACAATGAATCTTGGATCCAAGTACGTCATTAATGGTCGAAAATCAAAATATTGACAAATTTATACCCTAAAAGGCCGAAAGATTATGCGGCAAATATTGAAACGGGGGTTGTCAACATATTGTATTAGCTTTGATCTCTTAGAATCCGTTGAATCCTAAGCGATTGGAGTTGTTTACATCACTTAACGAATGATATGAAATGATGAGGATTTGGGTTTTTTCAAAGTCTATAATGTCGGCCAATGGGGGATTTTAGCAAAATATCCCGAAAATTAAATCATTAAAAGGCCGAAAGATCTGTGGATGGATTTTGCTGTTTTATATATCAAAATGAAAACTTCGTTGGGTCTAACAAGGATCCGCTGAATCCTAAGAAAATAAATTATTTGCTAAAAAGTTATTAAGATTTTAAATTTTGATGAAGACTGCTCTCCATTGAAATCTTTGGACCATGAAATGTCGATTTACGCGCATGCGTTGTGACGTTATTTCCATTATTCTACGCCAAGGAGGATTGGCTCCCAGGATCGAAACTCGATATTTTCCAACAATGAAAACGTCGAAATGTCGTTATTTTCTGAAATTAAAACCGACTATAAATTCAAAATAAACAGTTCAAAAGATTCGAACCAATATCTCGATCGTTTCTTGTGAGTTTTGGAATTTTTCGTTTGGAAATAAGACCAAAATTCACGATTTAAATGTTGAAGTGAACAAAATGGCGGCTGTTTGAATTCGAATTTTGTATTACGACATACCCATATATGGGACAGAATATCGGTGGTGCACTCTGGGAGCCAATCCTCCTTGATTCTACGCCATATTAGAAGATAAGCGTGACCTCTAAAAATGAGTTTTAGATAAATTCATGATTTTTCGAAAAAGGGTCCTTCAAAAACCACCTTTTGAAATTAAAAGAAAAAGTTTTACTTATCACACTTTGATAAACTCCCCTTCATAAGTCTAAATAACAATTCAAACTTAAAGAGGCTTTAACACGTTGTTCAATGGGGAGCTAAGATTGCCAAACAATCGATAACGATAACTAAAAATGGCGGCTGGAAAGACCAAGGACACAAATGAACACGCGTCTTTACACCCTGTTATAGTATGACGTTTACGCCACCTCTGAAAACGAGGTTGAACGGCTACGTTCACTGATTTATCCAAAACAATGGCCGCAAATAAAACGTCGTCGACAAGATCTTATAGGAAGGTCATGCCGTGGTCACATTTGCTCCGATTTTTACTACGGCATCCGGCCGATGAGATCCGGCAGATGTGACCACGGCATTAGATGCGCCCTTTGCGCGCTGTATAGATGTCGCTGCTGGCGTGTTGGCTCTAATCACACGTTTTGCAGCAGCATGTCCAAACACGTGACCCATTGGATGCTCTGTTGAATCTCACAAAACGATGAATTAAGATCTTAGCCAAAATGAAAAATTGGCATTGATTAATGATTAGGGTAATTGTATGTTTAACGAAAAACGACAATCGATACAAGTTATTTGGAATACGTGTACGCAAACCTGTACTTGTACAACTCAGGCATACCGTTGGGGAGGAAACGAAGATCGGGTACTCTCATCCTTCAAATCACAACAAAATATTGCGAGTTCCATTTTCCAAATATGATAACAAGTTAAAAATTAATTCTGCCATTGCTTGGTTACTCACAAATCAATTCCTTCGATGTTCAGGAAACGAGGATTTTTTTCTCATGAAATGTACTTTCGTGGTTTCTTTGAGAAACCTTCCTCCCCAGAAGTGTTAACGGCGTTTATAAGTTTGGCTAAAACATTTATTGAAAACTACCAATTATGGAAGGTAAAGTTGTCGCCACTTCAGTGAATTAGTTTAATACAGGAGTAACACACGATCTGAATAATATCAATGGCATTAAATTTGGCTGGTAAGGTCACTAATATCCTGTATTCCAAGTCACGGGGTGCCATCGCAAGATTTGCCCAACATGGAAGAGCGTGCTATTCCCATGAAAACACAAAGGAAACTTTACAATTTATTTTTTTAACTCGAGAATTACCCACTCCCTTCACTTCTGTTTCACTTTTTAATGGCACAATGTTGTGAAATGATATTTACATATGTTTTAATATTACTCTGAAGGTATTAATCAGATCTAGATATTTTAGGTGCATTTTTATAAAAAATATTTTTAAATTTATTTTCCACCGTGGATGAGCAGTTTCAAATGTGAAATACATTAAGATGCGTAATATGTCCTTTACAACTACGCTTCAGAGGAGACGAGGTGTTAAACCCCTTTCCCGGCCTCTCTTGACACGACCTCTCCTCTTAAAATGTAGGAAGGGATCTCAATGTATTTCACATGTGAAACTTATTATCATCTTTTTAAACAGCAAGTTATAGTTGATAAGAAGTCAGTAGTTGTCTCAAACAGACACTCCTATTTTTGCTTAGTTATAACTTTTTTAAATGCTGTATAGATAAAGAATTAAATTATTTGACATTTTATTCAGATTTATATTTTTTATTTATACGTTAACAAAGACGATTTCAGCATTCAGCATGTCCAACCATAACGCATCCTGTCAATCAAGGGGCAGGCATGTTACCTAAAAAGCAAATGAACAGTGAAATGCTTTCCACGAATCAACAGATCGGTAAATCACGCGGTACTAACTTCGACCGTTATTTTGAATGTTTGACCTACCGGATGTTTCAAAGCATAACAAAAATCCTTTTCTGTTCGTACATTATTCTCTTAAACAGAGTCCCTACTTCCAGCGGCATTTTGGTCCCCAGCTGTAAGTAGGCCTTCTAACAGGTGGGGACCAAAACGCTGCTAGAAAGAGGGACTCTTTACAATAAAGTAATGCACCGACAGAAAGGCAATTTTGTTTTGCTTTTAATGGTAGAAGTTTGAAGAAAAACGATGCAGTATGAGACTCGCAATCCTTGATTTTCGAGCATCTGCAGGTCAAAAAATTCAAATTAACGGTCGAAGTTAGGACCGCGAATAAATACGTGAATAATATCTCACCAGATATGACGATTTTGTATCACGTGAACATCGATTTAATAACAAAAACTACATTCATGTCATAATCTATTTATATTTTCTATAATCATATTCACGTTGAAGGCAACCAACGTGTACGGCTTAGTCTTTAATTAGAATAATAGTTACACGAATTTGAGAGAACGTGAACGTAAAAATGTAAAATTGTGACCCACATGTAAATTGTTTTCTACCTCTTAATTTGTTTACACTGACCTTATTACAACTGATTTTCCTCACATCTTCATATTTAATGGGGCAAATAAAGCCCAATGAGATGAAAATAATCCATAGGAGACCATCGTTTTGCACGTTTAACGTACACGTTCTGATCTTTAAATAGTGCAATCACAACCTCCCTACTGATGGATTGTTTTACTTTCAAACCGAATACCCCTTTAAACCCTCTTTCCAATGGTACAGCTCTTTTAAAATCTTAGGCAACATTCAACAGTCACCATTTTATTCAATTTAGTCAGTCGTCGAATTAATTGTCTCTTATTTAATAGATCACAAATATATGTCCTCGCGGAGGAAATGAATAACTCACAGTAAGATGTTTCTCCGGTCGCCATGTTCCTCAAGTTCATGACCCATTGTCCAGAAGACTGGCGGTAGATGTTAACCTCAACGTTTGGGTTGTCGATACAGTTGACGTAGAGTTTACAGTTCCTGTTGTTCCATGTTACAAGGAGATCTCTGGGGAGGCAGGAATCGCAATTGTGCCTGTCCTTTTTATTTGAAAGCGCCCTGCCTTTTAACAGAAAAGCATATCTACATGTACATCCAAATATAAACTAACATGATCACAGGTGTTACATACCTTTCCTATAATGACGCCTTTCACTACTTTACAGCCAGCAAATTTTACGGTTAAAACATAAAAAGCAAATCTTTCGATGATTTCGTTGTTTTAAATTTTCAAATTGATTCTTGAATAGCGTTAAAGACATAGTTTCTTTGCGCATTAGGAGCATATTTTGTTTTCTTTATGATGAGTTGCGCTTTTTATGTTTCCTTTCTAATTACATAACAACAACATATTGTTCTGATCTCCAACTTTTTTGTTTACATAGTTCGGCGATTGGTATTCGGCGTTTGGCCGTTGGCGACTGTTACAAATGGCAGGCGGTGACATTTTGCATGCCTTGTTTTATTTTGCAATCCCTTTTGATCTTTCTCCTTTGGCCCTTATGCTTACGCATCTTTATATCTGGTGCCGGTAACTGGTCAACTCGTACCCAAGACAAGTCGTACCCAAGACAACTGGTACCCAAGACAACTCGTACCCAAGTATATATTTTGTTTTGAATCAAGCATTGGACTGGTAATGTGAATAGATATACATATTATAATTGTAACATACTGTTCAGAATAGTTTAAAGTTTGAAGAAGAATTTTCAGAAGAAATTGATTTAATTTTGTGACAATTTATACTGACTAATATTTTATATTGGTCACATATTCAGGATGTTCGAGTGAAGAGACCTATGTTTATTCCACATATTCTTAATCATTTTTCAAAATATTGTATGTTTATGAATGTTTGGAACAAGTGTCAGATCTAATGTTGTAATTATATTTATTTATTATATATGTTTGACAAAAAATGTTGAGAACAAGCACTTCAAGCACTTCTTTTATTTAATAAAAAATGCTTTACTGATCCATTGAGAAAAAATGTCGTCTAAATTCAAAAAAATATTGAGGCTTATTTGATTCACATCGTAACATGAAAGCATTACAAACTCAATTTTTTCCCTAATATCCACCCATAATACTGAAAATAATCTTGGGTACGAGTTGTCTTGGGTACGAGTTGTCTTGGGTACGAGATGTCTTGGGTACGAGTTGACTAGGAAGCCTGGTGCCACTAGTTTTTCTATTTCGTTAATCTTACCGTGCCAATTTGTCCAAGCAAATGTCAATTGCCAACCAACGTTAAACGTGCTTTTATTGTCAACCGTAACGCTACATGCTTCACTACACACAAATAGTGCTAGAAATAAACATGGTCAAACGGTCAGTTTAATATCATTGAATTAAAGGACAACAGAAGTACAGCGTCTTTTTGCGATTGTTTTATTATATGCCATTGTTCTAAGTATAACGATAACATTCGATAACTAACTAGCTATTTTATGATAAATGGCTTGTAAAATATGGTATTATTTTATATTAACTAATGTCTTATAATATTTAGATGACCTAATTATGAAATCATCAATATATAATATGTATTATAAGATATTTACCAAGTCCAAGAAACAAAGAAGCGGCGATTTTCATCTTGAATAACCTAAAACATTGAATCGTATTTTTTAAAGGCCCCATATAAAGTTTGATATTCTTAATATTTGAATGATCAAACTATATTTTCAAACTTTGCACAGGGCCTTTAATATTCATAAGTCGAACATAGAAGGCACCATATATAAACATTTCAATATTCATTTCGATTTTCAGGGGTATACTTTAATACATTGTTATTAGATCATTGAAACTATAACTTTAGTCTAAGGAATAGAAAATGTAACTAAGTATAATGACACACCAATCGGATAATCTTCATCATCATCACCATCATCTTTATCAAACAATTCGGCCAAAACAATGCTGAAACTTCAATCCGTTAAAATGTAATATTGAAAGTACACTCAAGCCACGTATTCCTTTCATTATAACGAATTTTATGTAACATGACTATTTGTTTTTATTCCGCTATTTAATATTCGCTCTACCATGAGTATTTGGTATCAAATTAAACGTCTCTTAATCCTGCAAAATATCATTTAGTTTTTATCTCAGGGTTATAAAAGCTGAACGCATTACCAATCGTCGAACATTCCAAACTATCATTTTTCGCCTTGTAACCGATCACCCTTATGTTGATTGACAGTAACTTTTTTATATTCTGAAACGTATTTTGTTATAATAATTGACTATTCCATTACAAAGACTGCATCGTGTCTATTGTACGTTAGCTGGAATTAATTTATTTGCTAATTTACTATTGGAAAATCGACATTAAGTATGTGTAACCCTCGAAGGCACCATCATCGACACCATGCTTGAAATCAACAGTGTCGAGAAGCCTCTGCACTATTCATGGTAATCCCCCATTTACTTCTTTGAAATATAAATTGCCTTATTAACGTATGTAAAACATTTTCACAATACATTTGAATATAACATATTTAGCTTGTTACGAATTTTTCGACGTAAATTACTATTTTTCAAAATCATCATCGACTCTACAAGTACGTTGTCTCTGCACTCTCCTTTCAATCAAAATCAGGTTTCAATGTTAAGTAATGGTGTTGACGGTTTGTCTCAATATATATTGATAATATAAAAATACGCTTTATTGATGTTATTCTTTGACCACTTAAAGATTGAGATATTTACGACCATCAACGACTCCACCACATACGACTCCAAAATACTATCCACATATTAAGTAGGCCACATGCATATTCGAACGCTATATATTTGTTGAACGAACCTACATTCATTAAATGACTATTTTGTGGTATGTGTAGCATTTTACAGTGATACCGAGCTAAGGATTTAGAGTACATTGTTCATTGTGACTACAACGTATAGTGATAAGTAAAATTGAATCTATTAAGCAGATCATGTTATTTACTTATGATGCATATTCTGTTTGTCTTGAAATGCTAAGGTAATGTGGCACAAGAATTGGGATGATTGAGCAGTTCATAGTTTTATAAAATCACTGACAAATATAGATGCACATTCCCCGATATTTCTTAATTCATAAACGTTTCGTTCAGTGTACCACTAGACGAAATGTATTTCTTGCCATTATTGTAAAACAATAAATATTTCATTGGGATAATCAGTTTTGTGACATTTTATTAATGTGCATAACTTCCCACACTCTCATTAGTATATCTGTCTTACTTATCAGACCTTTCTGATAATATAAGAATATGGCACTCACCAACGCCGAGAAGTGCCGTCGTTCCCTACAGACTACAGTACAGGGAGAGAAAGAAAAAGAAAGATACCAAAGGCTACTTAGAGCAAGAACGTATACACCGAGAAATAACCTGTCTGCTGAAGCTCTTCAACAGATCGGAGAAAAGAACAACAAGGCATGCATCCCGGGAATACAGGGCACGCATACGCCAAGTCGGGCGCCAAGTGTATATAGAAACAATGAAAACACGCCAGACTGAAGGGAACGCTCAGAGTCTAAAAGTGAAACTGCCAGGACACAAATGAAAATCCCAGAAATCCCAGAACGCATTATTAAAACATTGAAGATAAGGCGACTGGACTTAAACCAGTACCAGGTACCTTTCGAATCAATGCTGTGAGAGGGGTTTCCGATAATATTGTTGAAACGCGAGAATTATCGTGCTATTGTGACGCATGCTGAACAGATACGTCATCCTCACCCTGTGGTTGGCAAAGGAACAACCTTATAACCGTTAGGAAGACCCAGCACTAGCAGGCAGATAAGGTGGTCACCGAGCAACCATCTTTAAAACCAAAACGGACCACACGACGAGCACAGCCGACACCCAGTACGCCAAGTAAAGCATCGACGCCCTCCGACGTTTCCAATCTTTCAACCACATTGAAGCGTCGGCCTTTATACCCCATCTACAAGTTCTTCAGACACAATTGTTTCCGCGAAGAAAAGGAGATGCCCGATAAAAAGAACAGACACTGTAAATATTTGCAAGGCATGCGGTGTCAACTATTATTCGTATTTACAATCGCAACTCGAATGGATCAAGTGCTCTAAATGCCACGACTGGTTTCATGATTCCGGGAAATGTTCTCGTGTAAAGGGAATACTCATTGGAGAAATATTTACATGCTTTAATTGCAATAAAATACGACCTTAAATGTGTAAATTATGTAAACGTTATTGTTTAAAAACCTAAGCGACCATCAGCGACACTGTTAAATAACACTTAATATCACAAGGAGGAGTGATTGACCTATTCGTAACAATGTTGTATTTTGATGTAAGAAGACATGTGTGTCTAATTTGTACATTCATTTTGTCGATCGACGAATTGACTTGGCATATTATTTAGCTTAGAAAACAAAGTCTTGAAATTAATTATCTTTAGGGAAACTCAAAACAATGTATTTCAATGATTATCTTAATAAAATTCTCTTGTTAAGATAAACAACAACTATTGCAATTTATTTTTGTTCATGTGATTAAATAATTCAAACTTAATACATTAGTTTATCTGTAAACTCAAAATTAATTTTGAAACATGAATCAATGTAAGCCTATGTATGCACCATCATCGACACCAGCAATTTAAGAGTATATTTACGTTTTGATGCACAATCAAGTAATTGTTTAAAGGGTAATAAAAATATTTTGAGAAACGCTTCTTAAACCCCATGGCTAATGGTATATGCATTTATATCTTAATCTAAAATTTCATTTTTTCAACTTTTATATTGATCAAATGTGAAAGAGATTCGTGGCTTGACTGAGTAATGACTATATTTTGATTATTGAATATCTTACTAACCTTGTCAGTATTACGTAAAATTATCGTTGTATCTGTAAGAACAAGCGTCGGTACCAAGGCAACAGTTCATATGTAGATAAGTGAAAATAGAAATTAGTTTCAATATATAGCTGGTTTACTTATCTATATTTATCTGCATTGGGTACGCGCAGATTAGCAGATAGGTAGATATTACTTATGTCAACAATAAGATGCACGATCCGAGATACTGGAGTCTGCATTTGGAATGAAACAACAGCCCCAGCCCCTGGTCGTAAATTCTATAACTGATCAACCAACAAGCAAGTTATTGATAGGCTAAACTAAAATACCGGTTCCAATAATCGAGGTTTTAAAAGTGACTATTTTATTTTTAATTTATATTTTGCGAATGTAAACAAAGGAGGCTACCTCATCAGGGCTTTTTAACTCTTATACACAGGTATTCAATTGTTGTCTGTACAAAGTACTGTAATGACCTTCGATAGCAAGTCGCTACTACAGTCTCAGCTGTAGTGGTTAGTCTTTATGGCTCAGGGGTAGAGCGTCTGACTCGAGAGCGGGAGGTCTTAGGCAAGTATCAAACAAACTCGGAAAATGTAAAGCACAAACTATTAAAGTAGAACATCAACGTGAACGTAAAAAGAGCGCTTGTACATTTGGGAGAACTTGAACGTGAACGTAAATTATTAGGACTATGTCTAATCGCCTAAGAGCGCTTGTACATTTGGGAGAACTTGAACGTGAACGTAAAATATTAGGACCATGTCTCATCGGCTTGTACATTTGGGAGAACTTAAACGTGAACGTAATTTTAGGACTATGTCTAATCGCCTAAGAGCGCTTGTACATTTGGGAAAACTTGAACGTGAACGTAAAATATTAGGACTATGTCTCGTTTTAGACTGATTTGATATCATTTTATTGAATTGCTGGATTATACACAAGGTCGCCATATATCGAGATTCTGCGTCATTCTTAAACATATAAAACATAACAATGGTGAACTGTGTCCAGCATGCAAAATGATATGAGGGAGAATTCCAACAGTTGCCGAGCCATAAAATGAATGCAGTCATTGGACTTCAATACCACTTTTATACCATATGCATATCTATAAATTAATTACAACTTTATACTAGATATAGTACTCATACACTGTTTAAAATACAATTTTTGTGAGTGTCACATCTTTGGCCAACCCTGTATATAGTTGTACTTGTAATGACCCCGATAGTAATTTGAGATGGTAGCGAGCCAAAATATCAGAGTCTTACAGATAAAAGAGAAAACTTGAAATATTGAATCTCTTACTATGGATATAACTAATGTACAATACTTGGGTTTATAATATTTTATTGAAGATTAATATAATGTGTGTGGATTGGTTAGAGTCTCCTATAGAGGCTGTATGTCGCAACTCTGCGACATAAAACGTACCACTAATTAAACAGACAATGTGATGTAACTTTAAAATATAAACAGAAAAAACTACTTTATTGCTTTCTTTTACAAAAAATAAGTATTTGGTATCAAAAGTTGTAAATTACTTTTATTTACATGATTATGAAATTGAGCTTTAGAGACTAGGCTGTATGATGATCACTGTATATTTACACAATTATATTATGCACCTGAAGTTTTGACTATTAATTACTCTACACTTAATGCTGTATTACCCTGACTAAGTTGGCAAGACATGTTTGTATTTACACTACAATTACCTGATATATACACTTGATTGGGAAATTATATACCAGACTTATGATATGAAGCACCAATTGGTTTGAGCTTAAGTGATTATATGCAAATGTATATGTTGTTTAAGTTTCTAAACTGTTCTACTGCCTTAATAATCTAATGTAGTAGATATATTGTCCAATACAATATATCTAACACAAGAAATTACTCGCGAAGGCACAAAGTGAAAAATATCACCCTGAGATTCTGTTAAACTGAGATTCGAAGCAGTATCAAATTATGTTAATATCAAAATATCACCTAAAAGTAGCTTATTACATGTGAAAACTACACTGCTAAATGCAGTATATTCCCCACATGAAATATCAACTGAGCTACAGTAACACAAAGTGAAATAGTATCACCTTGGAAATATGAATATAAAACTCAATGTATGAAAATAATATGTACAATAAGCACTAGAGATATTTCAATGTACCAGACTGTTAGTTACATGTGGCAGACATAAAGCATGAAACAGTATGTCTATCACATGTCAACCAAATAACTACAATAAAAACAGTCAAATACACAATAGAAATACAGTATCTCTTCCAAACTCACAATATTAGTCACGATAAAGTATCGCAACAAAAGGAACTACTCAAAATGAAATTATGGCAAGCTTTTGGCAATTTAACCTGTACGACAAAGTGTCGAACAGACAAAAATCCAAAATAAGATCAAAATGTGTTTTATAACACTATGACTTGATTATACTTATGTAAAGGTGTGAATCTATATCACACTAGTATAAGCAAGCTCAAATATTACTCAAATATATAAAACTATCAAAAATTGTGAGTTTATGAAATCATGTGCTCAAGTCAATGAGAATTCTATGAAAAATGACAAAGATACAGCTTCGAAAAAGTAACTTCAAAAATGAAAATCAGTCGGCCTTACTTTCTCAAAAGTTAAATGAAATACTCAAGATCAATTAAATAAGCAAAATACCAATGCAACTCTCGACACTGAGATGAATTAAGGCATCAAAATTTGGAATCTGCATGAGATGCAAAAAATGGCCGCCCAAAATTCAACAAGTGTGAATCGGCCGTTTCCAAAAACTGATATCTCACTTCAAAAAGTGTAATTGGCTGAATGCCTACGATCCCTGGGTCTGGTGTTAGTTCGACAATTAAGTAAAACTATATCTTACACCGGGAAAGTAATTGGGAAGCATACAAATCAACCAAATATTTAGAGCATACCTATCTGTCCTTTGTTGTTTACGAATATTGACGAAGATGTGAATTGAATGTGAGAGAGAAGGCCTCTGATTGGCTGAAAATATCACGTGACTTTGAAATTGCCGATTTACTGCAAAAGTACGTAACATTACTTGAATAAAAACTTACCATATTGATCTTTAAATCAATATTGATCATATCATGTTGCATTTACATCGAAAAAACTATGCAAAAGTGGTAAAATATGATGTAATTAAATAAAATGAATCGTAATCCAAAACGAGGCTGTGACCCCGGAAGCTCACATAAACACAAAAATAATTTCGGGGAGCAGTAAAATCTCCAAATAAAGTTAAATTTCACCACCTTTACAGAAATCTACTCAGTCACCACTTATGGCGGAAGCAAGGTAAGACAATGTGACACCGTCTAGCGTACTAAGAACAAAATGACACTATCTAGAACTATTGCTAGACGGTCGTCACACTATCCCCCCTTTTGAAAAAATGTTCGCCCTCGAACAGGAATGATGATTATAAAATGAGCACAAACTTATCGTAAAATGCCGTATATAAAAAATGTCCATCAGCAAAAGTGCTGATTTATTAACACTATAGTTGGGGACATCGCTGTGTCCAGCTGCTCCCGTCTGACATCTGCGTTTAACACTTGAATATATAAATTGGACTGTTTTCTAGATGGTTCAGAAATGTCAATAAATAAAACACATGGCCCCTATGGTATTCTTGGAAGAAGCAGGGGCTCAAATACACAATACAGTTACTTGCCAATGTTAATAGTTATGTATTGAATAGATTTTCCACAATGACACGGTTGTTTATAACTGACTTTGGTTTTCTTCTGTGGTGTTGGTCGTTTCATAGACAAATCCAGTGGTTTAGATTGTATTATAATGTCCATATTTGGAGATTCAGGTCTGAATACTTCTGGAGATGATGGTGGCATATGGTCCTGGACACTTTCAGTTACTGAGAGTACTCCCGATGGCTGTTCTGTGGCAGGTGTTGACGATTCATTGTCCAATTTACATGATTCTGTGTCTGAGCTAGGGGATCGCACAGGTGAAGCGTTGGGTGACTCCACCTGCTCCCCTTTCTTCTCAGTATCAGAGTCAGAGCCAGTGTCTGAGTCAGACGATGATATCTCCCTCAATTTCCGCTTGTACGTTGTTGAACTTTTGGCTCTGATGGCCGTAATCCTTCCCCGGAGTTCACCTAAACTCATCTGGTCATGTTCATAAATCTCTGTTTCTTGATCAGAGTCCAAGATCTTATCAGGACAAGTAATGGGCAGAGTGCTCTTTGTCCAAGGGGACACAGAGGTGAAATTCTTGGACACTGATGTTGTGGAGGCAGAGATTTGGGGTGGAACGGTTATAGCCATCAATGGTTTTGGCAGTTGTTTTAGAGTAACTAAAGGTGATTGGATATCTTTATGTCCATTTGGAAAGTGTTTCCTCTTCTCCGCATGATTGCGCTCATGCCTGTCCATCCTTTGGCGTGTCTTTGTGGTGCGTCCTCTTAACATAAATTTGCAGTATTTAAACTGACAATACACATATTGATGTTGGTTGATATCATGTTGGTCAAGTTCCTCTTTAGTAGGAAATTCCGCCCCACAAACGAGTCCCTTGGTTTTGTATTTGGCGCAGACTACCATCCTGAAAAGAAGCAAAACAAGCAATGTGTTAAACATTTGGCGATTATTCCAAATCATAATCTTTTAACCACTTGGGTGGTTTTCGCGGCCTTCCAGACCGGGTTGGATGGACATCTTCTACAACAGAAGGAGAATTAATTTGGGCCTCTTCTGTGTCATCAGGGGTACCTGCAAGTGGATCAGGGGACTGTTCTGGCCTGTCAATGGGATCTCCGATATACTGTTTAAGTCGGTTTTCATGGACGACTTTCGGAGTTCCTTTAACATCCAGTTCAAAAACAGTATCCGACAACTTTGAGGTCACTTTGTATGGGCCAGTCCAGGGATTAAGAAATTTTGGACTGTGACCTACAGCTGTAACAGGCACATGTAACCATACGGTGTCGCCAGGGGATATAGATTGTGAATTTGCTTTCAAATCATAATATTTTTTCTGAGTATCAGAACTGATCTGAATATGACCCCGGGCGGCATCGTATGTCTGAACTAATTTGGCTTGCAGTTCTTGACAAAATTTAGTGTAATATGTTTCATCAAGATCTTCACACAATATTTGTGGAGGAGGACCCACTACCAGCTCAGACGCGAGGCGGGGCTGACGACCGAACATGAGGTATGCTGGCGAAAAGCCGGTTGTTTCGTGACGGGCACTACGATATGCTGCCGCAATAAAGGGAAGATGTTCGTCCCAGTCACGATGATGCGGAGAAACAACTTTCGCAAGCATAGCCTCAATCGTCCGATTTGACCGCTCCACCATGCCATCTGACTGAGGATGGTAAGGGGTAGTCCTTGTCTTATCAATCTGTAACATGTCACACAACTCTTGGAAAAGGTTACTTTCAAACTGCCGACCTTGGTCAGAGTGGACAATTAATGGCGCTCCATACCGGCATATGAACTCATTTAGGAAAGCTGTGGCAACTGTAGAGGCTTCTTGATTTTTCATGGCCACTAGTTCCATGAATTTCGTGAAGTAGTCCTCTATTACTACCACATACTTATTACCTGACAAAGTTTCCGGCAGGGGACCCAATATGTCGAGAGCAACCCGTTCCAAAGGTGCGCCCACATTATACGTTTTCATGGGGGCTTTTGGTTTTCTATTTGGCGGTTTTCTCTTTTGACATACAATACATTCTGCCACCCATCGAGCAATATCGGCTTTGTAGCCTAACCAGTAATACCGATTCCTTACTCGATGGATGGTTTTGGTAACACCTAAGTGTCCTGCATCTCTTTGATTGTGCATGCCATGGAGAATGTCAAGTTGCAGGGATGAAGGTACAACAATTTGCCAATTTTCTTGGTTTTCATTTAACCACTTTCGTTCCAAAATCCCTTGACGCAAACGAAGGCGATCCCATTGAGACCACATACGCTTGAGATCAGTGGACCTGGGAGCTACTTCTGACCATGGAGGACGATGACCAATCTCCATCCATTTTTTGATGGGAGCCAACAAGGGATCTTGGTCAACGGCCTCGTTATACTGGGTTTGTGTGACTCCTGGCAACCAATTACAGCCAGTAATTGGATCAGAATCATTTGGTTTACTTGGACCTTGAACGGTACGGACTTCAAATCTAGGTGTTAGACTGAAAGTGAACCTCACCGAAGGAATTTCAGTGACAGGATCAGATTCATCTACGGGGACACCTGATTTCACTGGGTCATCAGCGGAAGATGACACAGGAGTTGGTGATACCCTGCCCCACTCCTCCTGTCGATTGCAGTGCGAACAATCGACACAAGGTCTGCGGGACAAAGCATCGGCATTTCCGTGTTTTGTACCAGGACGGACTTCAATGGTGAAGTCATAAGTCCCAAGCACTTGTAGCCATCGGGCCAGCTGGCCCTCTGGTTCCTTAAAACGCATGAGCCAGGCCAATGCACCGTGATCGGTGCGAATGGTGAAATGGTTACCATAGAGAAAATGGTGATAGTGTTTCACGGATTTCACAATAGCCAACAATTCTCTGCGAGTAGTGCAGTATTGACGTTCTGCCTTACTCAAGGTAGCAGAGTAGAAGTCAACCGGGCGTTCTTCTTCGGACTGAATCTGGGACAGGACACCCCCCAACCCACAGGAACTAGCATCAGTATCCAAAATGAAGGGCAGGGACATGTCGGGAAATGCCAGAATTTCAGTGTTACGGAAATGAGTCTTTAGTTGAGAAAAGGCTTCTTCACATTCCTCGGCCCATACAAATTTTTGATTTTTCTCAGAAAGGCGGCTAAGGGGCCGTGCTTCACTGGAGAAGTTTTTCACAAATCTACGATAGTATGAACACAAACCGAGGAATGCTTGAGTATCACGTAACTTCTTTGGTTGGGGCCAGGATTGGATGAGTTCCAATTTTTCAGGATTTGGAGCTACACCTTCCTCGGACACTACGTGACCAAGAAAGGTAACTTTGGATTGGAACAAGTTACACTTTTTGGGTGAGAGTTTCAAACCCGCGGATTTTAGACGATCAAAGACCTCATTCAGTCTTTCGAGATGATTTTCCACGGAGGAACTGAACACGATGATGTCGTCAAGATATACCAAACAAGACTCATATCGGAGTCCGGCAAGCACACACTCCATTAGGCGTTCAAAAGTAGCCGGAGCATTACACAACCCGAAGGGCATAACGGTGAATTCAAATAACCCTTGGTGTGTAGTAAATGCAGTCTTGGCAGCATCATCATCTTCCATTGAAACTTGCCAGTACCCCGAAGCCAAGTCAAGGGTACTGAACACTTTCGCGCCAGATAACGAATCGATGGTGTCATCGATGCGTGGTAGCGGATACGCGTCTTTGTATGTTATCTCATTTAGTTGTCGGTAGTCTACGCAAAAGCGCTGGGACCCATCCTTTTTGGGGACTAGTACAATTGGGGAGGCCCAGGGACTTTTGGAGGGACGTATAATACCTAAATCTAGCATATCTTGAATTGCTTTTTCCCCTTCAGCTTTTTTAGCTGGAGGAATACGTCTGGGAGCTTGTTTTCTAGGATGAGAGTCACCCGTATTTATCTTGTGAGTTATCTCGTCCGTCCTACCGAGATCAAGTTTACTTTTAGCAAAGAGATTTTGATTTCGGAGAAGGAAGTCAACAACTTTTTCTGTGTCTTCTGAGTCAACATTTTCAGTACTTCTTTCACAGAGATCTATTAAGTGCTCAGGGATATCTGCGAGAGAAGGCTCAGGATTACTTGAGTTTTTTAATGAACAAACATTTGAACTTTGTGCATTACCAGGGGCTTTAAGAGCACCACTATCTTCAGAAGGATCCCCCCCTTTGGAAAGTGGGTCATCATCCAGAAATTCACCATGTGCTATCAAGGTATTTTTATATACTGTTACTGGCTCTGGATGAACGTTAGTTATGAGAACAGGAATCTCTTGTGAAGATGGATTAACAAGGGCGCGCGCTACCATAAGATTCTGTTCCAACACTTGAGTATTCATTTCAATGAGCATGGATGCAGCTGTATTTTCACTTTCAAAATCACCCAGCAGCTGCCCCCTTACCACCATTTCTGAATATGGAGGCACAGTGACAGTTTCTGCATTGGCGATGTTATATAGTACAGGCAATTGACTCTCAAGAGTGCAGGGAAATTGCCTGCCATGCATGAGCAAAAGTTGATCTTTTACATTGAGAACAGCTGAATTCATGACCATGAAATCATAACCAAGAACCAGATCAGCATTGAGGTTTGCAACCATTAATTGTTGATGGACTCTAATACCTTGACCTAAGTTGAGCAGAGTGGCAAGTTGACCAAGAGCTTTGATTTCTCGACCATCTGCCATCTGAATACCGGGCCCGGTTTCCCATTTTGAAGCATCAATGGCTGGATTTGATTTTTCAATCTTTTTCACAATTTCTGGGCTAACAATACTGAGGGTTGCCCCGGTATCAATGAGACAATAAACAATAATTCCCCCAAAATTCACAGGCAAATAAAGGGCATTGTTAACTCCAGTGGAAGGAACATACGGTCCAAAATATTCTACAGCGTCACCTGGACCGTTTGGTGACGCCTTTTCTAGTTTTTTGAGTTTTGACTTTTCTGGGGTGGTTCAATGCCATTTTTCTCATCATACTGTCTCTTACGACACTCAAATTTTTTGTGCCCCTTTTTCTCACAGTACCAACATTCCCCTTGAAATCTATAGGGCCTTTGGGAGCTCTTTCCCTCTTTTAACCTTTTAATTTCTTCGGTCAAGCGAGCATTCTCTGCCATGGTGGCTGCCACGTCAGAGGACAACAAATTCACTTTTTCAGAAATGATAACCTCAGGCGTAACATCCGGCAAGACAGTGGTACTTCGCAAAGAGAGATTAGGTTGGGTACGATTAGCATGGAATGTATCATACTTGAGGGCAATTTGTAAAGCTTCATTGAGGGTTGTAGGGTCTTTGTTTTTAACTGCCCACTCAAAGTTTACATCATTTAGAGCTTTACGAAACGAGTCAATGGCCATGACTTCGCGAATCTGTGCATTGGCTTCTGGATAAGCCTTTTTTACCAAACGTCTGATATCATGTGCTAATTCAGTCACACTTTCTTTTGGTTTACGAATTCTATCGTGCAATTTATCCCTGAAGTTCCCGGCCTGATGAGGAGGGTCAAAGCGCATATTTAGCGCTTCAATGATTTTTTCGTAACTACGCTCATCAGAGTCAAGATCAGTCAGGGTAGAAAGTGCATCTTTTCTTAATAATGCAATAAGTTGCACAGCTTTAGTAGAACTAGACCAATTGTTTATGGATGCAATGATTTCAAACTGCGTCCGGAAGTCAGGCCAATGAGACGTACCATCATATGGGGACAATTTTGGAAAATTTGGTATGTTTTCAACAGAATGAGCTCGAGTCTGCGGTGGAACCGTTGAAGGTGCTACAGGTGTAGTCAACGGATGCACCGGGACTGGAGATTGAACCAAATGTGAACCGTATGGAACCATAACATTGGAGTTATTTGCTATCGGCACAAAGGGACTGGCTACCCGAGATGCAACTCTAGGTAATGGGTAAGGGCCAGGCACCATTGTTTGATTTTCACTCATGAACGGATTGGTGATATGTTTGGAGGGATCATTATTTACGTCACTGCCTCTTTGTGAAGCAGGCCTTGAAGTTTGGAAAGCACCATGAAATCCCTGTATAAATGGAACACTTTGCCCCTCTTGAGAATACATTTGACCTGGTATGGGCATATGAGCATGATTTACCCCCTCTAAAGTGTTTACATTTGGATAAACCTGAGGCAATGGATACCCTTGTCCGTACATGTACGGCAAATATGGATTAGGCCATACTGGTGGAGCCATTGAATAAGAGGATGTAACACCAGTATGCGACGTAGGCGGACCATAGAGCGTTACAGTAGGAGACGCGCGCCGAACACCCGACGAAGTCGTGCGTGCGCGGTAATATGATGCACTGGGCGATTCAACAACAGTTGATTTGATGTTTGTTACAACAACCTGTGTGGACTTTGGATCGTGATATATCCTATTAGCTGGAAACAAAGATCCATCTGTTTGACCACCTGATTGAAAAGATCTGAAGGGATTGGTATCAACAGATGTAATGGGTGTTTGCCTTTTAACAGGTGGTGGAAGGCTTAAATCTACATTTGAATCATGACCCGGGGACCTCTCTGGCCAGTTAGAAGCACCCGCACCATAATCTTTTTGATTATCACCATAAACAGACAAAGGTGTCTCCCGGAATGGAAGTTCTGAGAATGCCAATTTTGTCTTAACAACATCATGTGGTCTGGGTGTCATTCGGGGTTGAATTTTAGGACGTGCCCCACCCTGTGCATATGCCCCCGATAAATTTTCAACTTCTATGTCAACCTTTCCTTGAGTGGATAATTCACCTGATTTACCATATTTTACCTCAGGAGCAGATAACTCACCCGTGGTTAATGTATTCATACCACTGTCACCCTTAGTGGTGACATTGTCAGAAGGGTATTTCATGGATACTTCCCCGTCACTATACCTGACAATTTTGACGGTGTCTTCCATTTGAGAGGAAAGAAACCGGACATCTTCCGCAACATTTGAGGACTCTCTAACAGGCGTAGAAGCCATAGTTACTTTAATATAAAGCGTTTGATATGGTATGCAATGCGTGTGTGTTCTGTGTAGCTAATATAGCCAATAATGTACAATTGCGTTGAATGTATATGTGCCTGTTTGCATGTAATCAGTATCTTGTTGGCATCTACCTAACTTGAATATCTACTTATCCTTAGCCTGAGCCTTTTGTTGGGCAATTATAATACTTGGACAATTATGAGGTTCTCCAGGGTAACTTACATATGCAAAGCAATCGCTACAACAGTTTGGGTCTAACTTCCATGAATCAATGCAGGCATGACAGGCTTCAATTTCTTGCTCAGGGTAATACACAGTGTCGTTGAACTTGAGGTAATTTTCACATGTGTTACATATGTAGTGCCAACAGCCTATCTTTCTCAATGGAACATTTGAATGACTGCAGTGAAAACAATGAACGAAATTTTGAACAGTCATTATAGTGGTCGTTCGCAGAGTAAATTGACAAATGTAGCACAACACACACACAAAATATGAATTTCAATCCCAACGCTGCCAGCCAGTTTCTGTAATGACCCCGATAGTAATTTGAGATGGTAGCGAGCCAAAATATCAGAGTCTTACAGATAAAAGAGAAAACTTGAAATATTGAATCTCTTACTATGGATATAACTAATGTACAATACTTGGGTTTATAATATTTTATTGAAGATTAATATAATGTGTGTGGATTGGTTAGAGTCTCCTATAGAGGCTGTATGTCGCAACTCTGCGACATAAAACGTACCACTAATTAAACAGACAATGTGATGTAACTTTAAAATATAAACAGAAAAAACTACTTTATTGCTTTCTTTTACAAAAAATAAGTATTTGGTATCAAAAGTTGTAAATTACTTTTATTTACATGATTATGAAATTGAGCTTTAGAGACTAGGCTGTATGATGATCACTGTATATTTACACAATTATATTATGCACCTGAAGTTTTGACTATTAATTACTCTACACTTAATGCTGTATTACCCTGACTAAGTTGGCAAGACATGTTTGTATTTACACTACAATTACCTGATATATACACTTGATTGGGAAATTATATACCAGACTTATGATATGAAGCACCAATTGGTTTGAGCTTAAGTGATTATATGCAAATGTATATGTTGTTTAAGTTTCTAAACTGTTCTACTGCCTTAATAATCTAATGTAGTAGATATATTGTCCAATACAATATATCTAACACAAGAAATTACTCGCGAAGGCACAAAGTGAAAAATATCACCCTGAGATTCTGTTAAACTGAGATTCGAAGCAGTATCAAATTATGTTAATATCAAAATATCACCTAAAAGTAGCTTATTACATGTGAAAACTACACTGCTAAATGCAGTATATTCCCCACATGAAATATCAACTGAGCTACAGTAACACAAAGTGAAATAGTATCACCTTGGAAATATGAATATAAAACTCAATGTATGAAAATAATATGTACAATAAGCACTAGAGATATTTCAATGTACCAGACTGTTAGTTACATGTGGCAGACATAAAGCATGAAACAGTATGTCTATCACATGTCAACCAAATAACTACAATAAAAACAGTCAAATACACAATAGAAATACAGTATCTCTTCCAAACTCACAATATTAGTCACGATAAAGTATCGCAACAAAAGGAACTACTCAAAATGAAATTATGGCAAGCTTTTGGCAATTTAACCTGTACGACAAAGTGTCGAACAGACAAAAATCCAAAATAAGATCAAAATGTGTTTTATAACACTATGACTTGATTATACTTATGTAAAGGTGTGAATCTATATCACACTAGTATAAGCAAGCTCAAATATTACTCAAATATATAAAACTATCAAAAATTGTGAGTTTATGAAATCATGTGCTCAAGTCAATGAGAATTCTATGAAAAATGACAAAGATACAGCTTCGAAAAAGTAACTTCAAAAATGAAAATCAGTCGGCCTTACTTTCTCAAAAGTTAAATGAAATACTCAAGATCAATTAAATAAGCAAAATACCAATGCAACTCTCGACACTGAGATGAATTAAGGCATCAAAATTTGGAATCTGCATGAGATGCAAAAAATGGCCGCCCAAAATTCAACAAGTGTGAATCGGCCGTTTCCAAAAACTGATATCTCACTTCAAAAAGTGTAATTGGCTGAATGCCTACGATCCCTGGGTCTGGTGTTAGTTCGACAATTAAGTAAAACTATATCTTACACCGGGAAAGTAATTGGGAAGCATACAAATCAACCAAATATTTAGAGCATACCTATCTGTCCTTTGTTGTTTACGAATATTGACGAAGATGTGAATTGAATGTGAGAGAGAAGGCCTCTGATTGGCTGAAAATATCACGTGACTTTGAAATTGCCGATTTACTGCAAAAGTACGTAACATTACTTGAATAAAAACTTACCATATTGATCTTTAAATCAATATTGATCATATCATGTTGCATTTACATCGAAAAAACTATGCAAAAGTGGTAAAATATGATGTAATTAAATAAAATGAATCGTAATCCAAAACGAGGCTGTGACCCCGGAAGCTCACATAAACACAAAAATAATTTCGGGGAGCAGTAAAATCTCCAAATAAAGTTAAATTTCACCACCTTTACAGAAATCTACTCAGTCACCACTTATGGCGGAAGCAAGGTAAGACAATGTGACACCGTCTAGCGTACTAAGAACAAAATGACACTATCTAGAACTATTGCTAGACGGTCGTCACATACTTATTGGTGCATTTTCTATTTGTGAAGACGTTATTAGGCCTATTTGTATAAAGATATATAGTCTGACGCTGTAATAATACACAGGGTGATAGTCAACCACTCGAAGTCTTATTTGTCACCTGGACTATTTCGTCTTGTAGCACATAGCTTGTATCTTGGGATTGATAGTGTGAATCCGAGATTCATCTTTAAAGATGGTAATTTCTCACCAGGGGGCACTGTGAACGTGTATCGCTGTAGTAACGAAGTGAATGTGAGAAACAGTTCCATCTTGGCGAGAGCTTCTCCCGGACACACTCTTTTGCCTATGATTAAAAAACAAAGCACATGCTAGGAACTGTAGTTAGAACATCGTGTAGAGAACATCGTTAACTTGCACAGATAAAGTTGTATTAAAATATTGTACTATTTTTTTCTCCATATCACGAAAGTAATATTAACATGTACATTACTTCAAATTTTGTTTATTCACTGAGAACAGTATTCTCCTTTATAGTAAAATATCTTTATTTTTGCATTGGGTTATCTTAACCCTAGAGTTCTTAAGGGGGGGGGGAGTCATTAGGAACTCCCGCCGCAAGTGCAATTAGCTTAGGAACTCGAGGGTTAAAGCTAGGCAAAATTAATGTGGCTTACCTATGTTTTTAGCACTTGCTGTTATGATATTATGTGAAATAAGAGAATAATGATATTCGGCCCGATGTCTTACCCATTGAGAAGGGAATCACGAAAGCAGATTTGACTTTGTCGATCTGCCCATCCACATCGATAAATCTTTCAGGGTTGAAATCAAATGGATCTTTCCAATGTTTTTCATCATGATGTGCTGCATGTATATTTGGCATTACCATAGTACCGGCAGGAATCTGGTAGCCATTTATTGTGTCGTCATGGAGATTAGTATGAGGCATAGCCAATGGAAGAGCAGGATGACAGCGTAGTACTTCTAGAATTGTAGCCTCAGCAAGGACTATTTTCTTGCGATCTTCAATTGTAGGGACCTGTGTCTCTCCAATGTGTTCATCAATGCTTGCTTGAATCTAGAATATTTAAACACAACATAGTTGCTCATATTATGTATCATTTAATTACTCATAATTAACATACATAACAACATAAAAGCCCCGCGATTATTTAGAAATCTCAAGCAAATTACCGCTGAAAACGCGATTAAGAAAATGAAAAGGGTTATCACGAGCTGTCGATATTGGACTCACATTTGAGAATGAAAAACGCTATATAACGTTGTTGCCATGCGTGTTGAAATAACCATAGTAATATGAAATAATGTTGTATTGAGTTTCACAGAAAAGTTCATATATCAATTTCATCATTTCCCACTTTTGTATTTTTGTTGTTCAATTTGATGAACACGTTAATTTTTGATAGTCTACCCAATAACCGTAAATACAACTGTAGTGATACAGTAAATTATGTTACGTTGTAACTGATAGCGAGGGATAATTACTTTGTCATCCAACTAAGTGTGGTGAAATATACTCACTTTGGCCTGTACAGCGTTATTGTACACTTTATTATGTTACGTTGTAACAGATAGTGCGGGATAATTACTTTGTCATCCAACTAAGTGTGGTAATTATACTCACTTTGGCCTGTACAGCGTTATTGTACACTTTATTATGTTACGTTGTAACAGATAGTGCGGGATAGTTACTTTGTCATCCAACTAAGTGTGGTGAAATATACTCACTTTGGCCTGTACAAGTCTATTGTACACTTTATTATGTTACGTTGTAACAGATAGTGCGGGATAATTACTTTGTCATCCAACTAAGTGTGGTGAAATATACTCACTTTGGCCTGTACAACGTTATTGTACACTTTATTATGTTACGTTGTAACAGATAGTGCGGGATAATTACTTTGTCATCCAACTAGGTGTGGTAATTATACTCACTTGTATTATGTTACGTTGTTACATAAAGTGCAGGATAATTACTTTGTCATCCAACTAAGTGTGGTGAAATATACTCACTTATTGTACACTATATTATGTTACGTTCTAACAGATATACATATAGTGCAGGATAATTACCTTGTCTTCTAACTAAGTGTGGTGAAATATACTCACTTATTGTACACTATATTATGTTACGTTCTAACAGATATACATATAGTGCAGGATAATTACTTTGTCTTCTAATTAAGTGCGGTGAAATATACTCACTTTGGCCTGTAGCTGAGGATAGCGCAACATATATGCCAGGGTGATGTACATGACACCTTTGGATGTCTCTGTTCCCCCAGAAAACAAGTCGTTCATAACCAGTCTCATTTGTACCTCTTGAAAATGATGAGGATTGTTTTAAAAAAGAATCATCACATACGAAATAATCACATTGAAACGCCACTTCTTAGCAAAATGATACATGCACGTTATTTTTGATTCATAGCTGGTCGAAACTGGCATATTTTGGTTATACACTTTCCTTAAAGACTCCGAGAAAAGCTTTGACAAAACTAACATCCACCAGCTGCGAGTTAATTTTGTGTGGGTCTTGTTCTGGCAATGGTTAAAATGCCCCATTGGAAGTTATGGAAAATATGTTTTTATCAATTACTATTTTTCACGACTAAAATTTATTTTTATGTATTTCGAAAATAACCATTTTCAAATAAAATTTGAAATTCATCAAATCATCCATTAATGTCAAATATTCAACGATGAAATGCAAACACATTATCATTTTGACATAATTGCATTAAGATCCAACAACGAACACACTATTTCAAAAATGTCATATCTATTGTGCCACTTAAATGTTTTAACATTAACATAAATTGAACCCTGATTTAGGAAGCAAAACGATAAAAGTTCAAAATTAGCCTATGTTGAATGTCTAACCAGGTTAAAAATAATTTATTATGTTCAAAATATTTTTACCATTGATCATTATGAAAACTAAAATTTTAAAATGCATTTCCCCTGAACCACTTCCATGCATGATTTAGTTCATTACTTGCTTATTCATTAAACTAACTTTCCTGTTTTTTCGACAAAAACACTCAAGGATGAATGCCATGCATCTCTCTGAATTGTGTCTTATTAAAATGTGTGTATAACTTCTAAATTTTAGTCTAAGATATTCACTTTCTGAAATTTCTGAAAAAAGTTTCACATTTCAAATGTTGATAACATTGTATTTGACTACAATATAAACCAAAAAGGTGTTTACTTTAAATGGGGTCTTTAAGACAAAAAAAATCATCCTTAAAATTGCAAATTACAGTCATCGAAGACTGGAAATTATAAATATTCTGATATGACATTATGTTTGAAAGATTTGATGCTGAAACAGTTAACTTTAAATATCTGAAGCCAAGCGTAATCTTACTATTGAACACAGATTCTGGATCTGAAGAAGTCTTCTCGTTCATTTTATCGAGCCATGCCTGCATGAAACTGTCCCGAACATCTTCATATCCAGCTGCGTGTCTCTGCAACGTCTGTTCCATAATCTCCTTCTGGCGAACTTTCCGCATGGCCATGTTATCAATTATATGTTTTTTCCATGGCATATGTCTGGCCCAGGGGAAGATGTTTATAATTTGACCATCAACAATGTCGATGCACGTCTGTTCCAGTCCTCAATTGAAAAACAAATTCATTTTTGAAACTTTAGATAATGCAACCAATATACAGGGTGTCCCAAAAAAAGGAAACCAGCAATAGATTGCTTATATCTCAAATATGAATAATGATAGGAAAATCTCACAGCTATCATCTGATAGATTATGATGTCTTCTTTCTTCTGATACCAAAGTTGTCTATTTTCCTTCACGGATGACTGAGTTATAAGGGATTTAAGTGACCATGTCAGAAATGAGTTTGTACCACTTTCAGCCAAGTCAATTTCACCATCATAACAAAGTGATAAGTAACACCAAACATCAGGATATCACTCTTTTACTCATTTATTCCAATTAGAATTACACATATCATATTTAACGCCCCTTTTAAATCCCAATGTCCATTCAAAGTTGTTTTAACCCCTGTGTCCTTCAACATGACCCCCATTTCTTTCAATGCAAATGTCTGCCCTTGATCTCATCGCACGTACTGCATCCCTGATCATGTCTCTCTGTCCCCTTAGATCCTCCACTGCTGCGACAATCCTGGCCCTTAGATCATCAACGTCTCTTGGTGGTGTTGTGAACTGGACTTTACCCTTGATTGAGACTTGTTCCTTCTCTCTGATACTTCTTGATATTCTTCCAGATTGTTGACTTAGCAGGTACATTTCTATTTGAGAAGCGTACTCTAAACTGATCAGCAACCTGCTGAAGGCTCCCACTTCTGAGCCACTCACTTACTACGAATACTCTTTGATCTTGGGTCAGCTGCATGAACTTGCTATGTTGAATGTTTGTTGAGAAATGTGTATTTGGAATAGGAAATGGTCTTGCATAGCCATTTTAATCCCTCATTGATCAGCCATTCATGACTGAAAAAGTGGCACAAACCAATTTCTGACATGGTCACTTAAATCTCGTAGAACTCAGTCATCCGTGAAGAAAAATAAACACCTTTGGTATCATAAGAAAGAAGACATCATAACCTATCAGATGGTAGTTGTGAAATTTTCCTATTATTATTCATATTTGAGAAATAAGCAATCTATTGCTGGTTTCCTTTTTTGGGACACACTGTATAAGAAGAATAACGACTAAGGTGCATGAAAGAAATAAACAGTCTACTTCTATCATAACTGGCTCTCCAAGGTATACTGTATTAACGGATGTAGTGAAACAACCAAGCCAAATAAAAGCCACCATTGAAAAGGCTCTGGAGAAAAGTCTTCTTTGATAAAGATTCATTGGGTGCGTTACTCCATGTAGGGTTAAATATATTGTTAACACGAGCTAATGCAGGAAAGGAAAAGTAGAGTTCAAAAATGGCAGAAAATATAAACAGCCATATTCGACCAAAAGGTGATTAATATACAATATAATTATAAGATGAAGTTTTTTGAATCATTAACCAGTAAAATTGCCACAATTGAAAGAACAAATTGCCTCACTGTACCAACCTGTGAAATATTACCTCTGACAAAGCGATTTTACATACCGGTAATGTTCCATGCATTTCGATGGATTTTGGAAAAGTATACATTGACATATAGTTTTTTAAAGCCTAAAAAAGGTCACTGGCATATAATGTCAACTCTGAACGGATGTAATACCCACGCCCAGTGCCCCATGCCGGATGACATCTCCTCAAACCCAACAAACTAAAGATGCCTCAAAAAGTGTTTTACCTCGGCAATAACAGTCATAAATGATGCTTTTGAGCAATGAAAACTTAATGAAATATGCTGAAAAATTGTTGGTTATGTACAAGCTCTAGATCAACCACTTGGTCCACTCAACTAAATTTTAGAAAATATGCAATTTAGTATTTAGAGACTTGGTTTCATGTTGATGAAGTCAATGTTTTAATGCTCGTTACATAATAATTTGAAGAATTGGGTACATACATATATATATACATTGGGGACATATTTCTAATGGTAGTTATAGGACAATTCCATGCTCTTCATTAATGTAAACAAACATGACATGACAGTATTACACATGATGATAATGCTCCGGGAGTTTGATTCTGCAACTGATTTAAAATAATTTCAACTTCGGAACAAATTAATTTTCTACTGAAACATGATGCTTACTCTGGCGAAGTTCCAAGAAGAGTGTATCAGTGTATTCCATCCTCTTGCCATAAAGTACAATATTCATCATATTTGACATGCTCATCCCAAGCAGGTCTAGTGTGTCGAAGGGCTTTCCTTCATTCTTGTCCATCTCTGCAAACATGACTTGAAGTTCATCTATGATTTTATCTTGAAAATTTCTAGTACCCATTCCAAACTGGCGAATCAACACCTTTCTTGTGAAGTGACGTATAGTCTTGTGTTCACTCCCCGATGAGCTTGCGAACGAATCTTTGCCTGCAATGTTTGATGTTATGAGTATTGGCAATCAATTTTTTCAATTTTTCTTCAACATGTATGAATGAGATGTCCCTTGGTGTTCTGGTCCTGAATTGTGATATTTGTTCTCGATTGGAGGGGGAGGGGTGTTAGACATTGTTCTGTTCACGTTAGATCATGGTTTTGGGATATATAGGGTCTCCTTTTCTTATGGCAGATTTACACTTACAGTTTGCTTTTCTTGTTGGGTTTCTTTAAAGTTTTTTGTCACCCTTCCCTTTGGCATTTGTGCTTATATTTTCAGAAATTATCTCATGTGTTCTAATGCAAATTCTTGATGAATGGTGAACAATAATTTTATCAATGTACTTTTTAAAAATGATTGGATGGTTTTCTTTTTAATTTCTCTGTCAATTTTAGGCCTTTTTTAATTCACAAATAACGATCTTGGTGGTAAGTTTGAAAGGACATGAACATGCTTTCCATTACCTGCCGTATTCGTGACTTTTCAATGCATCTGCATGGAAAATACAATATTATCGACATAATTGCAGTGGATAACATAATAACTGATTCATTTTACGTTCACAGATCAATGGCAGAACATGATTGAGCTATATACTATTAAACAATACCGGGCTTAAATAACAACCCTGTCTTGCACCTACAATGGAAAAATGTTCTGTAAAACCTACATTTTGGCTTGGCCTCACACACAGCGTTTGTGTACATAATATAAAAATATGTATTTAGCTTTTGAATCGCATAGGAGTTGGCTGTGTTACTTGATGAAAACCAAATATATGACAATAGTCAAGAATTTATTGACTTATAACGTACAAATAATTGTAGCATACTAATAGTACTCAAGAACTAGATGGGTAAGAAATACTCAGAATGAGATAGAATAGATGATGATGTAAAATATTTGAATAAAGAAATTATAGATAATCTAAACATCGTTCCATTCGCCACCTCTGCCTCAAATTTGAATGTGAACTTCAATAAAACAAGCATCGAGATTGTATTAAAGTTTTCAACCCAGGAGCAATGAATTTTAAATTCCAGGGATCACTTTGTATCGAGACTTGTATTATAGCGACAATCCCAATTTAAAGTTCAAAATCATCTCCGTTGACAAATCACAAAATGGCCCATTAACATGCGGCCTTTGATTGATCTGTACAAAGTACGATCAATTCTGCTCTAGACTTGGCGCTGTAATATCGCCCTATGGCCAGGCAAGATGGTATTAATCAACTATAACCACCTTGCTGGGCCAGTTCTAGGGGTTTTCGTGCTAGTTTAGAAGGCATTCATTTTACTATATCGACATGAGCAATATGTGACGTCATAGTGGCAGTCCATAATGGCGATCAATAATGCAATTAATGATCGGCAATTTTCCCCGGGAATTTAGATATCGTTCAGTGTGTAAGCTTTTCTTGCTATTTCAGCCCTGGTCATTAACGTTGGCAATAATACTAATAACGCCATGAAATGACGTTATTGTACTAATCATAAAAACGTAATTCCATTTTGCATATAGATTTTCAGGCTTTTGTGAAACAATTTACACAATATGCTAATTAGTTTTTTAAAAAAAAAGAAATCACAATATTGTCACATTTTCATTCTTACAATAAGGAATTATGTCTAGGATACAGATAAAAATGATACTTTGGTGAGAAATAATTGCATTTTTACGAAGTGGCATGTCACATTTTTGCTTAAAGAAAAATTGCATTGTTTGATTTGAAATTACATTCTTGCACAGACATAATCAAACTTTATACTCCCCGATAGAGAAGTTTCTATATAGCTTTGAAATTTCGCTAATTCTCAGTTTTCATGAGATTTTAAGAGATTTACACATTAAACCTCCAATGACTTACTTTTTATTTGCATTTTTAAATTTAAGTGAGAAGGTTTCTAAAAGATGTACATTGATAGGGGATCCCATAAGCCTATTTGAGTTTCAGACAGATTCAACCAACAATATGTGATTTTCATGAAGCCTCATTGAAATATACAACAGTCAACTATTCATTACGTCACTTCCTTCTTTTTACTTCAATTTTTATATGAGTGAGAAGGTTTCTACAAGATGCACATTGATAGGCCTAGTATGTAATTAAGGTTTCAAACAGATTCAACTCACAATAAGTGATTTTCGTGAAGCCTCATTGAAGCTGAGACTAACATAACATAAAAAAAGTTAGTCTCAGATTGAAGTATACAGCAGTCAAGCTTGTCATTACACAGCCTCGAACTATTCATGACGTAACTTTTGTTACTTTTGTTATGCCATGCTCAAACTCTCTAATAAAAGCACAACCTACCTTCATCTCTTAGGGCTTCAGTTAGCAGGTAGAAATATGGTCTTTGCATAAAGTTTTCCCCTTTTTGTACAAGGACCTCTTTTATACTTTCATAGCTATTCAGGTAGATAACTGGTCTGTTTGCCATATATACCGTGAACACATCTCCGAACCTCTTCTTCAAATGAAGGAAAGACCCGAGAAGATCATTTGCATCAAGAAGTGGTAGGCTACCTAATATGGGTAGTCGCGGCAAACCTGGAGGTAATCCAGATTTAGGCTTAAGCAGTACATACCACCATCCAAGAAATAATAGCACCCCGATGATTGTGATCATAAGTATATCCATGTTTTATTTATGCAAGTTTGTACACAATTTAGAACTTGTTTCCCTTCAATGATTATGATGTAGAGTCCATTTCACTGCTTCATTTCGTCAGTAGAACGGCAAATATAAGAAATTGGGAGACCATTGTGCAATAATATATGGAAAAGTATATTCATAATGTACATGAATGACATTTGTATATCTTGGATTGCTTCTAGTTTGGCTTATGAAGTGTGTGGCCTCTTATATTTGGATGTTTCTCTGCCATGTTATTTTCAATAAGATTAACATGGCTGAAATTCTTCAAATTACAAGACGGCACAACCTTATTGCACAAAAAACTAAAATATCTGAAATATACAAATGTCATTCATGTACATTATGAATATACTTTTCCATATTTTATTGCACATTGGTCTCCCAATTTCTTATTTTTGCCTTTCTACTGACGAAATGAAGCAATGAAATGGACTCTAGTATCAGTGTACGTGTATTGGTGCAGCTGTATTGGCAGGCAAATTTGTTTTCTTTGTCATACTGTCACTCTACTGTACCTTGCATTTGGCTTATAATAATGATTTTGTTATTTGTTTTTACTTGTCTGTTCCTTATTAATGTTTATTGGATGACTTATAAAATGTTAATAAGGCACTTTCAAAAATATACTTTACAATACAATTAGACATACAGAGTATCTTATGCATTTCTAGGGGTTAGGTATAGTAGCGTAGTATACTAATAAATAATCACAATAACCCTATGGACGTTTTTCAGCGCTTTAAGGTAGTTCACACGTTGACTTTAAAATTAACCAGTGATAAAATATTTATTAATATTTGTTAAAATGTTTCGTAAGTATGTTTCTAATAGGATAGTTACTAAATAGCAGAAAAATCAATGAAATCTCGTGCTGCCATCTTTTATTCAGCTTTTAACTTGGGCTAGAGCTCCATTCACTTACATGCTAAAATCTTTGAAAAGTGGCTTAATTTCATGATTTATCAAAGTGTGTTTGTTGAATCTGTATAAAACTTGAATGATATACCACATAATGACCCTGTTTATGTGCATGTTGTGATTAAACATGCAAATGTTGATTGACATACAAATAATCCACGGTTTTAAAGAATTTTAGCATTGCATCTATGGACATTTGGCCCAAGTTTTTTTAAATTGTCATAGAAAATTATTCAAATTACATAACTGTGTAAATCAAAGCTATTTTAGGAGAAACCATCTCACTGAATTCAAATATACCATTTAAAAGAAGGTAATGTAAGTCATTAGAGGTCTAATATGCAAATCTCTTAAAATCTCACGAAAAACGAGATTTAGTGAGATTTCAAAAGCTATATGGAAACTATACTATTGGATAAAAGAGGTGTTGTAACGTATGGGTAAATAAGTGCAAGAAGAGGATCAAAAAGGCAATTCTCTAAATTAATTCATATTTAGTCGCTAGTTTGAATAAAATAAAACGAGAATAACAGGACATTGACTGATGGTTCTTCAAAGGAAGACATTTGAGTTTGTATTCGCGAATGCAAATAACGGCCAGCGGCTAGTGGATTGTTTGCAATAAGGTACATGCAGTTTCTATTTAACTGTATGAAGCTGATATAATTGAAGTCACACTTTCTGTCTTGTTTTTCTATGTTTTTGTTGGGCAAGACAGTCATAGACTTCCATTTTATAATCTTGCAATAGTCACTTGATTTCCTGATTTATTAAAGTGTGTTGGTTGAATCTGTCTGAAACTCAATTGGTACACAATGGGATGACCCTGTCACTGAACATATTTCCCGGGGAAAATTGCCGGTCGTTAATGCATTATTGACCGGCAATATGGCCCGCCACTATGACGTCATATATGTATACTGCTCAGGTCGATATAGCAAAATAAATGCCTTCTAAACTAGCACTAATACCCCTAGAACAGGCCCGGTAAAGTGGTAATAATGACCTATAATCTGTTCGCTTTGTCAGGTAAGTGGCGTTATTATAATTGATCGTTAGCATGAAAATCATGCGATCCCTGATCACTGTTCGCCCAATAACGGGTTGTTCGTTAGATCAACTTCAAAATGACGGGTTAATTTATGGAAATTATTAGATTAACCTGGTAGCTGGAAGCCGTTATTTGCATTCGCGAATGCAAGCTCAGCTCTATGTACCTAAGTGGGACAAAACTATGATGGGAATACTATTACTGAGCATAATTATTTTGCAGTTATGTAAGCTCGGGAACTTTAGGCCTGACGCTGAATATAACATACTCGTCAGATCATCGCTCATATACTTAGTAATTGAGTCATGTATTTACAGTGTATTCCTTCCTTAAACTACTAGGCTATTTGGACGTTTGAGGTTATTTTGACTATTTACTGATGTAATTCAAGCTTCATTTGCATGGGTGTACGCATAGTTTGCCAGTATTCCAGGCGACACCTAGTTGGCACGCCATCTATAAGTACTGGTTTGATAAGTGTACCATTGCTGGGTTACCTCAAACAATGCAGTGGCGTAGCTACGTGTACGCCAAGTACGCCCAGGCGTACTCTCAAATTTTAAGGAAAAATAAAATTTACCTGATTAATTGTGATGAAAAATAAATACTTTACCAAGAGATAGAAATCGATAGGAGATCTATGAAGACTCGTGTTAATAAATAAAAAAGTTCTCGATTATTTCATTTTCTTTGTTTTGAATCAGTGTAGCTACTGATAATTAGAGAATTTTATTTCGTTTCGGTTGAGTTGACATTGTAGTTGTGTATTCTTCAATGGCGGCCCCAGCAAGAGCTCCCGGCGTTGATCCATGGTGGAGCCATAAATGGCAACAAGTTGCTCAAGGGAACATCCCAGCAAATCTTATTGACACTATTCAACAGACCCCCCAGCCTCTTTACCCCGATGTCTACACGTGTTTGGTCCAGCTGCTAACATTGACAGTATCCACTTGCGTGGCTGAACAAAGCTTTAGCAGTTTGAAACGCATTAAGTCATACTTGCGTTCCACAATGAACGAGGACTTGGCCACTTCCTTGAACTTCCTTGGCCATGATACATATCCATAGGGAACAGGATATAAACATTGATACTGTTATTGACATGTTCGCAAATGCAAAAACAGAAAGATAGAATTTATTCTATAGAATCACGTACAGATTGTTAAGATCCGAAATGGAGTTGAGACGGTCGTGTAACTGTTCTTTTATTGTTAATCATCTTGTGAGCTAGATAAAAACAAACACAGAAAAAATAATAATATTTCATGGAGAATGGCCACAATGAGCCTCATACATACAGTTTTAGGTAGCCTAAAAATAAAATCGCCTTGATAGACGGCTTCGATCGCCGATGGCATGATTATATAGAATCTGTCTATTTTGTTTCCTGAATATTGTCTGTTAATACAGTTAATTCAATCCCTTTAAAAAGCTATGTCAAAATGATCAAACAATACATATTTCCTTCATTGAATTAAGAGTGTTTAGTGTGTCCCCTAATCTATCTTCTGAACACCCGGGATCTTCCTATTTTATGGAACCATCGTTTTATTTTGATAAAACCGGGAAATCATACGGGCGTACACTCGCAAAATGGGCTAGCTACGCCTCTGCAATGTATAGACAGACAGGCTATCCACCGGTCGAAGTACTTACTTATGCAATACTCGTAGGCTTGAGACAGGTTTGAATACCGAAGAAAATATTTCACAAAGGTCATCAGGAAAAAACCTCGACTTGTTTTTGACTTATTAGTAAATCGATAACAAATTACTTGAATTGGTTAACCATTGAACGAAATGACTGCATATTTTAAGATTTTGAACTGAATACAAACAAACATATGTCATAAAACAATGAAACTAACAAACTTCATTTCAACATGCTTTAACGAGGTTGAAATGTATTAATTTTATTGTGCTTTCATATCAAGTTGAGTATCTCAAATGTAGACGCATTGGTTAAGTGAAAAGAAATGATGATGTAATATTTTCAGCAGATTGTTCACTGTATTTCTGTAAACTGTACGTTATTTGCATTATGAAATGCAAAAATACACAGTCAGCGGAAATCGGGGTTTTATTCATTGAGTATCAGAAAAATGTAATTTTGATACAGTACTACTATAGGAATGTAATTCAAAGTTGAAAAAATTGAAAGGATAAAAACAGTATTTTAAGCTCAATGAAGCCGAACTGAAGTATTTTTTCAAAATTGAGCATTGATGCCGGTAATGACGAAATCAAAGTAACTCATAGCTGATGATACGACTGTTTCTAGACGATGCTAGATCAGTTGAGAACAATTTACAGATTTTAGAAATTTTGGAAATGTTATAAAGTAGTTAATAGTGTAGTTTAACAAAGAATTTTAGTATGAAAATGTGATAAAGTTAAGAGTACATAATTGACTCGAAATAATCAGTCTAAAGACAAATGTATCCTGCAAGAAAGTTTACTTCAAAAGACATCTGTTACTCAAGATATTTTTAATCATGAAAATAATCTCATATCTTTGACTGATCAAAATCTAAACACTATTTATTGCACTTCAGAGTATAACATTTTAAAAGGAGCACTCAATAAAAAGCCTTATTGTTCTAAATGCAATATCAAGAGCAACACACGCCACATCGATAACGACGGAATGAGCTCTAAATTCGTTCAACATGTTTACAGTATTGGCGCCATCCGAAGCAATAGCGAGTACATACAATAACTCAGCGAAAATGACAACACTACGAGACGATGGGAGCATTCTACCAGTATTAGGAAAGCCGGGAGTTTGGTTTTGGATAATACACATAGGAGGAGCTTCTAGTCTCTTTATCAGCATTTGCTTCAGTTTTGGTTTGATTGCTTATCTCGGTGTAATGGGGAAACGTCAGAATCGGCCATTTTGGACATGGAAGTTACCAGAACGCTTGGTTATGTACCTCGCCCTTTGTGATCTTCTTTGGAGTATCGCCCATAGCATTGACCACTACATAATGATTGCCCTTTATGACCATGTTCCCGACCTACCATGCATCATCCTAGGGTTCCTTCTCAATGAGTTCATATTCATTCAGGCCATTATCGTGATGTTCATCGCCATAGGTGCGTTTGTAATGGTCGTGAAGAATAAGCGGATACCACTTGGAAGGTATGATTGGAGATTGTTGGTCGTGTCTATTGGCTTTTCAACTGTGACTGGAATTGTCATGGTATGCTTTGATTTGTTCGGGCCGAGTGGAGCATGGTGAGTTTTCTCCAGAAAACATTTTGGAACAGCGATCAATTTCGATTATTAACAGGTTTTGGTTCTTTGACATCCCATGAAAATCATGGGAGGGGTTATTCATATTAGTGGGAAGTGTCGGTTATGTAGCCGGGAGGGATCATACATCATCGTATATATAAATGGGAGGCGTCATTTGTGTAAATTGGAGGGGTCATTTATGTTAATGGGAGGGGTCATTTATGTAAATGGGACGAGTTTTTATATTCATTGGAGGGTTAATTTATGCCAATGGGAGGGACCATTTATGTCAATGAGATAAGTCATTTATATAAATTGAAGGGTTCATTTATTGCAATGTTAATAGTAGAGGGTCATTTATGAAAATGGGAAGAATCATTTATATAAATTCGAGGGGTCATAAAGGGAGGGGCCATTTCTATAAATGAAAGGGGTCATTTAGATTGATCAAAGAGTCGTTTATTGCAATGGGAGGAGTTATTTATATAAATTTTAGGTGTGATTTATGGTAATGGGAGGGGTGATTTATGGTAATGGGAGGGGTGATTTATGGTAATGGGAGGGGTGATTTATGGTAATGGGAGGGTGATTTATGGTAATGGAAGGGGTCATTTATGGGAATGGGAGGGGTCATTTATGGTAATGGGAGGGGTCATTTATGGTAATGGGAGGGGTCATTTATGGGAATGGATGTGCTAATTTGTCATTTATGTCAAAGGGAGGGGTTATTTAAAAAGACAGCTTTGCTTTGGAAAGAAGTACATTCACGAATTTAAAATATGGAATACTGGGAGGAGTCATTTAAATTAATTGAAGGGGTCATTTATTAACTGAAACGGGTCATTTATTGAAATGGGCCGGGAGAGGTTCACACCCATCCACAACGCTAACGTCATCTTTATGAAATACAATACAATAATTCACAAGAAACCATACATTCAACAATTTCGACTTTTTTCATTTTTATTAAGGTGTTTCCTAGATGGACGAAATCCTCTATATGGGGTCCTGATGTCGATAATCTCCATTGCCATGATATTTACGTCCCTTTTTAATCTCGTATGTTATGCTTCGGTTGTCTTTACCGTTTGGAGGATTAGAAAAAGGATGGCCGACTTCAATGATAACGAAACTGCAAATAAAAACCAGTGCATCGAAACCGCTAAAACTTTGGTGATATTCGTAATTGCCTACGTTGGCCAGTGGTGGGCGAATGTGTTATATTCATTCTGGGCTTTTACAGAACTTCCGCCTCTATGGCTGACGTTATTAGTCTCTACGTTTTCAAATATGGGAGGCGTGTTTAATTTCTTCGCCTACAGAAGTTTTAGAAAGTCTCTCGTGAGCAGGGGGAGAAACAGCCCCGATACTATTTCGGCGCCAGGATGTGCGTCTACCGAACCGATATGTACAAGCATGACTGACGTTAACTCAACGATTTGCAATACCAAAATATAACTGATTGACGATATGGATGCATTTTAAGCCCATTTTGTTAGAAAACTGGAATTTACATGTCATATTAAATTCCATACCGTAACAACTGGTTGGGAGAAAAACTGCATCTAGGGGTTCTATAGGAAATGTTGTTTAACATTTTTCTGCACATGTTTATGTCAAGTATATGTACATTATATCAGTTGCGTTAAAGAATCATTCTGATAATGATCAGTTTAATCATAACACCAATGATATTCACACCTTTTACACTGCCAAAATAGCTCCATGCTAATTCAGCGCCAATCTTTTTCGCGTTAATTTAGGGCCAATTTAGTACGGAATTTGTACAAATAATGTTTTTGCGGAATTAGCGCTAATAAATCAGTACCAAATCAGTACAAACCTCAGTTAGTGCGAAATCGGCACTGCTAATTTAATGCTTAGTTGGAATGGTGGTGATTCAGCACAAACAAAACCTACATTTTTCTAACTATTATTACCTAACAGTATCATTGATTGATTTGAGCAATATTGATATTTGACTTAAATGGACAATTTGATGTTGAATTATTGATAGAAGTTACGTATACAGTACTGGCAACGGTTATGCTCCATCAGCAGTTTTGAAACTCCACCAACATATAAACAAAAAATATTCAAATTTAATCAATATATTTTTGTTTATTTACAGGTGTCAATAAACTATATACTTTATATATTATTCATTTTATAGACATTAAATAGCCTAAATAAAATCTTCATACTTTTTATAATTTTAAATACGGACTTGGGATGCATTCCTTCATCAGACCATTTTGAAACGGAATTTACTTATAATTTTTGATTTGCTTAAAAAATAGAAAAAATAGAAACCACCATAAAAGGACAGGAAATCAAGATAAAGGATCTCGAAGAGGCAAACACAACCAAATCGGATGACATTACCCAGCTTCAAACCGAAAACGAATCTATGAAACAAAAGTTGAATGAGAGATTTTTGCCTGTGAAATGCATTTTAATTCGAGCCATTGTGCATTAAATGATTCTTAATCAACTTGATGTCAGACGATATCGTAAATCTTTGTTTGATGGAGACTTTCCATATATATATGATTCAGAACAAAGTGCATAAAGGACGATAAATGGGGTTTCAATTACGATACAGGGACCATGTGGGCAGCTAGAGGTTGCAGAGGCAAGTTTTAAGAACTCTTCAAGGAAGTTGAATAAACACGTCCCGAACACTGATCACCATCTTCACGAGTATACTGCTCTGAGCATGTGAATTAATATTTCAAGATATCAAATTGTATTGGCACCAGAACGACACAACATTATATTTACATTAAAACTAATTTGAGACAGGAACAGGTCTCTGTACAAATGACCTGCAAAACTAATCTATGGTCACTGACAAATTGATAATTAACTAGAATCGTTTATCTTTAACCATTTATATGGCTATACAGTCGCTATGCGCATGCGTAATTATGAACATCAGACGTCTTTAGATGCACTCGCGCCACCTTTACTTCCTTTGCCCGATGCTTTCTTCCCTGGAAGTTTAAAGCATGCGCATCCTGACGGCACCTCATGGTAATTCCAGCTTATACCACCGTTGCAGAAGACCGGCAGCCAGTTTTTAACATACTGTTGTACACAGTAAGAATGTGTGTTCTTGTTGCAACCTTTACACATTGACATCGGTGCCCTAAAATATATACAAGTACAAGAGTGTAGGTGTTAAATTGTTAAAATCGGTTTTGTATGAATAGGTAGCTGAAGTTTACCGATAAGGATATTTATTTAAATGACCCTTATTTTTGCATGGTTGCTATTAAATCTGTTTATTTATATCATCAAAATGAACATCGATTTCTTTCTCATTTTGAGTTAGTAAAATGCGAAACTGACGAAACTGAAAGAGCCATGGAATCCCTGGTATCAGAATGATTTTACAGGAATTGAAATACTATAAATCATTGTGAGTAGTCTAGAGTCTGACTCCTAGGTGAGTATATCCCATCAGAGACATATAATATAAGATGTTTCAGTGTCTCTTGAATATAGAAAATTAAGTTACGCTCAAGTTTAAGGTCTCTTCCATTATGAAATAACATAACTTACTTGCATTTGATCTGTTGGACTGTGAAGAGGGCAGTGCAGTGTTCAGCGACCTTCACATTTGGAATATAAGGCGACATCTCACTAGCGCAAGACTCTTCGCCGTCAGTTTTTAAACTCTGTAATAACTCACTCATCTCACTTCCCCTGGAGTGTAAATACATATTTAAAATATCACCTATATGAAATCTCATCAATTCGAATCCTATATTATCTCGTAGATTATACAAGCATATGTCTAGAGAGCCCGCTAGAGAGACATAATATGATTATACCAGACTACTGTAAACTGCCATTAGGGCTAGATCAAAACAGATTGTAGCGGAAGCATCTCAAACAGATATAAGATCTTGCGCATTATGACAGACTTTTACTAGATTAATGCTATTTTGATATTATAACAGACTTCTTCTAGATCAAGCTAGACTGTTGTGACTTCTACTAGATCGAACAAAACTATTTTGATATTATAACAGACTTCTACTAGATCGAACAAAACTATTTTGATATTATAACAGACTTCTACTAGATTAAACAAAACTATTTTGATATTTTAACAGACTTCTACTAGATTAAACAAAACTATTTTGATATTTTAACAGACTTCTACTAGATTAAACAAGACTACCATGATACAATGACATACTAAGCTCCTACCTTGCGAAAAATTCGTAAAATGTAATTTGATTGTTTAGAAGACATCTTCTGGTGTTTCTTGAACAATGGTGATGATGCCCAAAAGTTGTAAGAAATATTTTATTTTTTATTTTTAAAGTAGGGCTCCCTTTGTAATTTAAGGAATGTACGGTTGTTATAAAAATTATTTATTTTAAATACCATTTCGTAATATGTAATTTGATTGTCCACTAGACATATTTTAGTGTTTCCTGAACAATGGTGATGATGCCCAAAAGTTGTAAGAAATATTTAATTTTTAATTTTTAAAGTAGCTCTCCCTTTGTTATTTAAGGAATGTACGGTTGTTATAAAAAGTATTTATTTTAAATATCATTTCGTAATATCATTTCGTAATATGTAATTTGATTGTCCAGTAGACATATTTTAGTGTTTCCTGAACAATGGTGATGATGCCCAAAAGTTGTAAGAAATATTTAATTTTTAATTTTTAAAGTAGCTCTCCCTTTGTTATTTAAGGAATGTACGGTTGTTATAAAAAGTATTTATTTTAAATATCATTTCGTAATATCATTTCGTAATATGTAATTTGATTGTCCAGTAGACATATTTTAGTGTTTCCTGAACAATGGTAATGATGCCCAAAAGTTGTAAGAAATATTTAATTTTTAATTTTTAAAGTAGCTCTCCCTTTGTTATTTAAGGAATGTACGGTTGTTATAAAAAGTATTTATTTTAAATATCATTTCGTAATATCATTTCGTAATATGTAATTTGATTGTCCAGTAGACATATTTTAGTGTTTCTTGAACAATGGTGATGATGCCCAAAAGTTGTAAGAAATATTTAATTTTTAATTTTTAAAGTAGCTCTCCCTTTGCTATTTAAGGAATGTGCGCTTGTTATAAAAATTATTGATTTTAAATATCATTTGTTGTCAATAGTTTCACCTATTGCGACATGTTAAAAAGTTTAAACATACTACTTGAGCTTCCTAAATCTAAAGGTCAATGCAGCCTTGCTGAAATCCTTGTTTTCTCAGGAGAACTCATATTGGTCGAATCTCAACAAGTACATTGGTGTCGGATAGTATTGCTAGAATCCATTTTCATTAATAAGAATAGAGGTTTTTGAACAGGACATTAACGCTAAACTAAGGCCTTTTGAATTTTTAATTAGTACTATAAATACAGAATGTGCGAGATTGACATTTATTTGCCAATTTCGTTTGCCAAGTGTTGATCTCTGGGGTCGAGAATGCGCATTCTCTAAGATTTAATCCGGATAAATTTCGTCATTGGTGATGATGCATTGTTGGATTAATCTTAGAATTCATCCTGGTGAATTCAAGTAGGCCACAGCTTGACCAGGTCCGCATCGGGATTATGGCTAAACTAACAAAGGTAGTCATTGTTTTAAAGCATTTCTTCTAGACTCATTATTAACTTACTGTACACCCCGTAGACTGTCTCGTGCATGCCATAGGAAAGGGGGTGGATCTTCTGTTCCCCCACACTTGCCGAGGCGTATCAGCTGGGCGAGCATACAAAAAGCAATCTGGATTCAGAAAATCAGCATTTTACTTTACCCCCTTATCACACCAAACTAGTTCTCAATCATTCTTTCCAGTCTTACAAAAAGGTCGTAAAACGGGCCAAATCTGGCTGTGGTCGGATATATATCGAAAATAATTAGCTATTTCGTTCATAAACAGTCTCCAATACGTCTTAATCACAGTTCAGCATGTCGGTGTGCATACGTACTGCAGTTGATTTCGGATTTCACAACGTCGTTAACGCGTTCCCAGTAGGGTCAAAGTTTGGCAATTACGTCCACTGCACAATCTAGTAGGTCATCTCGTTTGAAGAATATTGTCAAACGATTTAATGACAGCTAGAACGGTATCGGTATGGATTTTGAAGTGCTTTAATATTCTAAATCACATTCGAGAACACAGTGATGAGAACTAGTTTGGTGTGATAGGGGGTTAAGAGTGTTTGTATAATCAGCTCTAGTTTTGAAAAAACACAATGTTCTAGAGTACGTACAGAAAATATAAAAATTAACTTACCAAAAACATTTTCCTTCAAAATGAAAAAAGTGTTGTTTTTAAATCAGCGATAATCCAAGTGCGTCTCTGGTTTCCGTAGCAACTGTAAATCTTTCCCTTTCTGATACCCTTTCAACTCTTAATCTCTATAAATTTCTACTCATAAACTTATGTTTTATCCTCATATACTTTCTAATTTGAATAATTTGAAGTTACATGCATTCTCAACCTATATAGATGTCTAAGTTCCGACGAAATACCAATATGCCTGTATTATGTAATTAGCAGTTAAAATCACAAAAAAAGAATTGCCGTTCTTTTATACCTTTCCTGTGGTATTCTTAACGATACAAAGACTTTCATACCAGAACAAAGCCGTCAAATGCATGACCAGAAAGACATCGATCATATTTACATAATTCTCGATTGAACCTTCAAGTCATATCAAAGAGCCATTCCGATTGCTTTGGAATGAAAATTAAAACGATGCAGGACTTTTATCGGAAGATATGATGTCTGAAGAATAAATGAAAACACGTCATATTCTCTTAATGAATACACCGCTGTGTTATGAATTGGAATCTGTAGAAAATACAATAGGGTGTCACTACGGCAAATAGTACATCCGGGTAGGATTTTTTTAATACTTTTAAAACTAAGCCATCCAAAATCCAAGTGTGTGTATAGTAAGTTTAAGTGTATGACCAGTGGCCATTTGAGGTAAGTATTTAAAGCTGATCAGGGAAAGTACTTTCTAAATGTACAATGCTAAGAAAAAATCACAAGAATATAGTCCCTGTGATGGCGTAGTGATATTTAAAAAACGAGACGCAAAAAATCTATGTTAGATATATCTAGTCCCTCCATAATTATATAAAATTAACCACATATATCATGTTATTTTTGAAATTTTAATTGACATATGAGTTCTATCGATTGAAAATTCTTGTCAAATTTCCAATAGTTTAAACCTGTAAACGGTGATTCGCGTCAACTTCATGTTCAACGGACATTTGAAAAATGTCCAAAGGCTCACACTATGGTTTCTGATAATTTTTCAACGTTTATTAACCCCATATAACGAGAAAAAATATTTGGCAAGGGTTTACGCTTTGGGGCATTCAAGGTCATATTCGATATGCTAACCTATTTACAGGTTTTTATCTGGAAAAAGTGCGGCCATTGATTGGGGTGGATCTGTTGTGGACGTAACAACTAAATCATCTATACAAGGATTGAATTTCAGAAGGTAAATGCCTGGTTAGGGATTTTAAATTAAAAACAAATGGCTCATTAGCAGTATAGAATTAAACTTATTTACAAGATTCCTGTAACTAAAATGGCAGAATGAGAAGGATTAAGAATGCCAATGTCTTTTGAGTAAAACCAAGTAGATTATTAATGGTACACAATTGGTATTCAATGGTAGGAGATAGTTAATCGAATAGTGTTCTCGCTAGGATTTTTCTCTGACCTAAAGACAAAATTTGCTTATTTTTCACGATTGTTCTCATTTTCAAGTTGGTGCAAATGGATTCTCAAAGTTTAAATCAACTAATACTAGAGAGATATCGCAACTCACTTACAGCATGTCTATTATTTCTGTAAAATGTATATTAACTTATAAAGCGTTTGATTACGCCATTATTTATTGCACACCTCTATACGTCCATCAGTGAGATATTCCTATAAATCGTCGCCTATACGTAAGCATGTCACTCTTATTGACGAAAAGAGCTGCGTAATAAATGATGACGTTATCAAACGCTTCATAAGTTTACGTTATACGAGAATAATAAACATGCTTTAACACCCTATGCAGACAGAGCCTGTGGGAAATATTGGGTGCGGAGCAAATGAGGGGAGGGTGCGGAGCTAACGGTCATTTTTGAATATAAATTTGGGATATTTCTGAAATTAAGCCGTTTTGGGACTTCAAATATACCAAGATATGTGTATTTGACACCAAATATCAATACAATTGTGAAAATAGTAGCGCAATTCAATCTATAGCGACGCAGTGTGCCTTAAACCTTTCCCAGACCTATATATTTTGAAATTATCCTTTTAATACTGAGTCCCCAGCATTCATAAAAATGGTGTTCAAGGTACACTATCTATACAAATTATTTTTGCATCTTGGAAGCCAGGCAGTATCTGTGTGATTTTATAAAAATTCGGAAATGTTCTTCAGATATGAGCCCCCTCTAAATATTGGTTGCGGAGGTACGTTTATGGAGCTCCTCCGCACCCAATACCCAGATACTGCCTGGCTTCCAAGATGCAAAAATAATTTGCATGGGTAGTGTATCTTGAACACCATTTTTTATGAATGCTGGGGACGCAGTATTAAAAGGATAGTCTCAAAATATATAGGTTTGGGAAATGTTTAAGGCATACTGCGTCCCTATAAAATGAATTGCACTACTATTTTCACAATTTTATTGATATTTGGTGTCAAATACACATATCTTGGTATATTTGAAGTCCCAAAACGGCTTAGTTTCAGAAATATCCTAATTTTAAATTCAAAAATGACCGTTAGCTTCGCACCCTCCGCTCATTTGCGTCGCACCCAATATTTCCCACAGGCTCTGTCTGCATAGGGTGTTTAAGTGAGTTGCAAAATCTCTCTACTATAAAATCACGTTCGAAGAAGATATAATCGACCAGTCGCTCAAAGGAGTAAGACGTACCATTTTCTTAATAATGACTTTTCTCTTTCACATTTTGTAAATTTAATCGATTAAATACTTTTAATTTTAAAGACGATTAACCTTATTATATGTGTAAAGAAATTTGGAAAAATACATTTGAATCTGCGTGTGGGTTTCACGATCTCATTGTCATTTTTAACGAGTAACACTAGAATTGTCGTATTTGAAGAAACTGTAAACAAGAATATTTTCTCAAAAAGCGAATTTTGTATGTTAATACATTTTATTGGTTTTGATACACATTTTTTGTTCTTATTAAATAAGCAAACTTAAAGAGTATTTCAGTATTAATCAGGTCAGCTATTTATATTATCTCTAGCTACTTTTATATACTCTTATACTTATACTTTTATATACTCTTATACTTATACTTTTATATACTCTTATACTTATACTTTTATATACTGTAAATATTTTTTTCAATTTTTCTTCAACATGTATTGTAATGACTTCAGTATGAATGAAATGTCACTTGGTGTTCTGGTCCTGGATTGTGATATTGGTTCTCAATTACTCAGATGCGAGTAGGTAGTTACCAGTTTCGCCACCAGGTGGCTGATTCGGGGGGATTAACATGGCAGGGTATTACAAAATTCCCTTAAACTTGAATATGCATGAGTTTTAATGGTTCACTTTTCATATTACCTTGATGTATCTGATAGTTATACAAATTAAAATATGTCCAGTAAAAGAAAATATTATCTGCTCAACACAAGAAAAGATATTTCACTTTTTGTGGTTTTACGACATGGGCTCTATAGGGAATCTCCCCGACCTAGAAGTCACATTTTCAAAACTCTTTTCAAAACCACATTTCTAAATGTAATTTTACATGTAGATTCCAAATATGACATCAGTTTGACTGAATTGTGAATTTTTAATGACGTAAATCAAGATTATTTCTACTCGCATCTGGGATATTGGAGGGGGAGGGGTATGTTAGACATTGTTTCTTTTTACGTTAGATCATGGTTTACTTTTCTTATGACAGATTTACACTTACAGTTTGCTTTTCTAGTTGGGTTTCTTTAAAGTTTTTAGTCACCCTTCCCTTTGCCATTTGCGCTTATATACATGTATTTAATCCATGTGCAGCCAGAAAATGACCAAGAGGATGCCTATCAAACAACTATAGCAAACCCCTCTGAGAGGTAGAGGCACTGATATGCGTATTTAAAGAGTTTTACTTAGTCTAAAAATCGATAAAAATATGGGACCTTCCTAAAACTCTAGGGTGTCATAGTTCTCAATTTTTATCCTGAAATAATTATTAATAAGTTTATTGGTCTCTTGAACATGTAATGTACATCGAGATCAGTCCAATAAAGCAAATAACAAATAAAACATTCATGTACATGCATGGCAAAACAATTCTTACAATCTAATTTTAACAATCACTAAGTACTTTACTAAACAGCATAAAATGATTTCACATCAGTTTTGTTTAACAACTCTTTGGTAATATTGTGAACTCTCGTAAAATAATCACCAATTATTTCATTAATTGCATCATCGTGCGCTAACAGGGAGTATAAAAATAGACTACTTGTATTAAAATGAGAAAAACTATTGTTTATACTTTTTATTTTACTGAGATATTGAGATCGAGCTAGTTTTAGTTCTGATTGAGAACAACAAAAAAGAACGTGTTCTTCATCACCTATTGTATTTTTTGAATTACAAAAGAAACAAAATCGTTTCGATTTTTCTACTTTGAAGTATCGACCTCGTTCAATTAGGAAGTTATGCATCGATAACCGTACCTTAGAAATAGATTGTCTATATGTGGAGTTCTGTAAATTAAGATAACTTTCTCTTTTATATGCATGTTTTACTAGTTTATAGCTTCTGAATTTACCCGGAGCAAAAAGTCAAACAAGATGAGGAATTGAAATTCAAAAATAACCGTTGACACCTCTCCGGCCACGTAATCACGCCCGGTGATCGTACAAAAATGATGGAGGGGGGATTTGACAATTTCTGCAAGAAAACTCAACAAATTTAGAAGATTTATTTTTTCAAGAGAAAATTTACAACTGAATTGCCAAAGGAATAGGCGCAGTGCATGGCAAAATATGTTAGGTCATCTAGTATTTTTTTTTAAACTGATACCCTTCTAAGATATGAGATCTATTAAAAAGGCGCATCATCACCAACGTGCAAAAGTCAATGTTTTTGCTATAAATCGGGCAACAATGGTCTACACGACCTGTAATAAATATGTATAAGGGACGTTTTTATCTCAATACTAATGACATTGCTCACTTTTTAAAGTTAGTTTCGATGCGTTATACAAAAAATAATCGAAATGAATTAATTTTGGATGGAGGGGGGGGGGGGGGGGGGGATCGGATGGAGGGGGGGGATCGCATAAGACATGCTACTTGAATTTATTCTTATGATTCCAAATCTTCCCATTTTTCATTTCCTAGAGATATAATATCCAGTTTCTTACTGGGGTACTGAGTTTAGTTTTTTCAAATACACGAGTTCTTGTGAATTTGTTCCATAGTAAAGATATATAAATCCCCCCTCCATCCGACCCCCCCTCCATCCAAAATTAATTTTTTTCGATTATTTTTTTGTATAACGCATGGAAACTAACTTTAAAAAGTGAGCAATGTCATAAGTATTGTGATAATAACGTCCCTTATGCCTTACAGGTCGTGTAGACCATTGTTGCCCGATTTATAGCAAAAACATTGACTTTTGCACGTTGGTGATGATGCGCCTTTTTTAATAGATCTCATATCTTAGAAGGGTATCATTTCAAAAAATACGAGATGACCTATTATATTTTGCCATGCACTGCACATATTCATTTGGCAATTCAGTTGTTAATTTTCTCTTGAAAAAATAAATCTTCCAAATTTGTTGAGTTTTCTTGCAGAAATCGCCTAATCCCCCCCCTCTCCATCATTTTTGTACGATCACCGGGCGTGGTATAAGAGCTTCAGAATAGATCGTGTGACAGCTCAATCTTTATTTAAAAAACTTACAGTTTTTCAAACGAAAAGTCCCTCGAAGTTATATTTTGAAATCAAGTGTCACGAAATACATTTTTATATAATTGAGTTTGACCATTTTTAACCTTTTGTAACCAGTTTATCATGTTGACGCTTGGCTAGGCCACGACATCATATATTTGTGAATATGTATAAGTACACGTGTCAAATTGCCAAAATGTATTATAAAACACATTTCAAATTATAAACATTCAACAGGTCATATGCATATGATCTATTGCAACAATAGGTACTTAAAACCACAGCGTTCATGGTTAAATAAAATAAGATTTAGTTGAACTTTTGAACTTGACTTTAAAACTAGGCATAGTAATACTAATTATCTCGTCACATCGCTACAGGAGCAATTTTTTTTTTTTTTTTATTTATATATTTCTACAAAGAATACAATAAACAAGTGCACATGTTCTTGTGGCTGGGCATCAGCATTATCAGCCACGTTATATGATAAAATTCAATCAGACATTAAAAGGGGTTGTATTTGTGGAGCGTTACAGTGGTGGGGTGACCTAGACATTTTACATCGTTCAAAAAGATGGCACTACATTTGAGGATATTTAAGTTTACATCGTTCAAAAACGATGGCACTACATTTGAGGATATTTAAGTTTACAGCTTTAGGTAGTCTTTTATCACCAATGAGGATAAGGGAGAGAGCAAGTTATTCGTTAAGTAGCGGTCACACTAGCCGTGTAGGCTCACCGTTCACCACCGTTTTGCTAATTATGGCCAGACGGCGACGGCCGCATTGTTTTTATACATTTTTGACCGGGACTATACCGTTCTATTCCGGGTCTGTACCGGCTTCTCATCGGCCTTGTACCGGACTTACCGTGTTTCAGAATTCTTGCTTACCGTTCTCGCCGTGTTCTCAACTGGCGCATACCATCCCCTCACCAGGTTTTCACCGGCCGGAACGCCTGGATATCGGCCGAACCGCCTTGATGGCGTCATGCAAACGCTCACAATATTTAACTCATTTTTTGGAATGTATGCTCAACCATCCACGTGTTCAAAGCTAAATGATTTATATAATTAATTTGCTTATACATCTTAATTATGTTCAATAACATTACAAGTTTGTCTATATTTAACTGTACAATGTGGCCACATAGCTTGTCCATCCTGTAAGCAGCTAGTTGGGTCAACCGAGTTAAGTCTTTCTCTGTAATAGTTAGTATGTTTATTCCATGAAAATACGTTGAAAATGAATAGGTCTCGAGAACCTGACCAACTTTGGTAGACAAACATGCAATATCTATATTTCATCCGACCATATCACGTTTTACGATTTTACTATACGTTTTGAAACTAATTGCTCTGAGGGGTAACTATTTGTTTTGACATTACATTTTACGCAAAGCGTTATTGGAAGGTACAGATTGAACCTTAACTCCCCTTCAACGTTTAGAAATATTTTTCCTCATTAAAATGGAGGGTTTCGAAGTGAACTGTACTCGAATTGGAATTGAAGTCAGTTTATTGAATCACTAATAAAAATATGCCAAATCTTATTTGATTTCGAAAAAAGACGGCGGTGTTTTATATTAATTTTATAACGTTTTGTAAAACGGCAACTACATATATTTTGTGATAATTGCGTCAACGTATATATTACAGGTCTTAGACCTGTGTCGTTTGAGTTATATACCAAAAAATATTGACTTTTTGCACGCTGGTGACGTCGCGCCTTTTTAAATTAATCGAATAACTCAGAAGGGTATCACTCGAAAATTCACGGAAGACTTCACATCTTTGTTATACCGTAGTTTAATCATTAAGGGATTAATGGGTGAACGTTAAGTTGTCATGAACATGAATATTGCAGTTTTATTGAATTTTCTGACAGAAATCGGCTCTTCCTCCACCCTATTAATTTTTTCTTATATAATTGGTCGTGTAAATGAGAAATAAAGCTTTCACAACTTTTTGATGGACGGTAATGTGAACAGAAAGATCACGTAAAATGCATAAAACAGTTGATAGTTCGAAGTTTGGCTTATAATGCTAACTGGACATTTATTTTCACTTTTATTTGAGCTTTAATCATTTTTGCAATTTATTTATTTTCTTCGTGTATGATAAAAGAAATATATTTGTAACTTGTTTTTCTCAGTGTCTTCAAAAGAATCTCTGTCAAAGTGGTTTGAGTGGATTTGTGGCTTCAAAGTACAAATGAGAAAGTCGAAGAATTGATGTCTCGAGTTACGGGACAAAACCTTGGACAATACCTGAATATTTAAATAAACTGGAGGCAAAATTGTTGAAACGGCAGAACACGGTGACAACACTGCGTCACGAGGCGGTACAATTGCGAGTTCACGGTATTAGGATGTTTAGAGGATGTTATGGAGCAGTTATGAGGCCGTTAACACGTTAATGGACTGTTACCTAAGCGTTAAGCGGCTTGTACCGTGAAAACCCTTTTTATGTGACCTTTCAAACCCCCGTTTGAACCTCGTTTATCGGACGGTACCCAAGCGGTACACTCTCGTTCGCAGCCCGTCACTGATAGAGTCAACGTCCACCATCGTCCCATTACCGCTCTGCGAACGTGTCCTTAACGGCTGCACCGTCCTTATACCATTCCCGTACCGCTATCACCGTTCGCAACCGAACGTTACTCAAACGGGAAAAGTTTTGAGCATGCTCAAAAAATTCGCCGGGTGTGGATGGACGGCAACGTTCCCTGAACGTTTCTCAACGGGCGGGAAACGACCCACCGTGTGGCCATACCGTGCACCGCCGTCTGGCCATAATTAGCCACACGGTGGCGAACGGTGAGCCTACACGGCTAGTGTGACCGCTACTTAACAATTGAAATATTAGGTAATGTAACAACCCATTGGCACGCCAGCCGGGGAGCTGTAGTGTAACGAACTAGATACTCGAAACAGAGCGTGCTAAAATCAATGTATGGGAATCGAACCCAGGACCCCAATTTACACATCTAGTTATTGTTTATATTTGTTCTTAAAAAGTAATACCTTAATATGTGTGCTGTTTTAGATCGGTTGTACTTGACAATGAAGTTCATCATGTCGTTATTCGTCTACTTAATGGCAGTAATCTTACTTGGCGTGGATCTGACCATGGGACAAGGTAAGAACATGTACACGGGTCATTCCGGCACAACTGAGAGTATGCAATCAACTTGCGCAAAATTCCTGGTGAAACTAGTGTTTTTGTTCTATGCAGTGCTCTCGCCAATTTTTTCATTAACCGTGACAAAAAAATTGTACTGAGTGGAAGTAGCTTCGAAGAACGAAGCGTGTATTTTATTATGTTTTTTATCACCAATTGACATAAAATTAATACAATAGACGTTGTTTTGGACGCTCTTTCAATTTAGGGAGGTTGGAGCACGAGAGCATTAATTAAGTAGTAAATTGACCTGGAAATGACCAATTTCACTGTCGACAAAAATGACTCAATTCAACTCCTTTGGCAAATTGCTCTACCTTAAATATAGATAGAGTATGAAAATGTTATTCCAAGTCAAAGATAGCTCTTTTCCAAGTCGATTGGCAACGCTTTTAATAGCCAAACATGCTGTCATTCAATAGAGGAGTTTCCAAAAAACTTTGAAATCTCGCTAATTCTCATTTTTCATGAGATTTTAGGAGATTTGCACTTTTATCACATTTATCTCAAACAACCAATTTTCTTTCTTTTTAATAGGTTTATTTGTTTCACAACCAAAAAGTTCGTGATTAATCACAATATGCACACGGACTTTAAATACCAAATTATGGTCTCTAACTAGTCGCACCGGAACATATTTTTCTGGTTATAGGCCTAAATGTCCATAGATATGTATATAAATGAAGTCTCTGTATAATTAATAGTTCATTGACATACAAGACCGTTCGTGTTATACTGCTATGTCACCCAAAACCACGGGAATTCTTTCACAAACAAAAAATCAAAAGGGCGTGATTATTATTCCCATGGTGCCATTTCTCTAGTAATGATTCAAGGCAGTGAATCGAGTGCAGTTACGCATGCCAATATGCTCACTTATTCTAATATAAGTTATTTAAAATGTATATACTGCAAATGGGACTATACTACCCAGTTTTTATAGTCTCTAGACAAATGTTAGTAGACGACATTTAACTAGAGAAATAAGGATAAGTTGTCTTGGGGACAGAGGCAACCAGAAAATATAGTCCGCTTGGACATGTACATCTAGAAAATTAAGAATAAGTTGTCCAAGGGACAGAATTAACTAGAAATTATAGTCCCCTATACGTGCATCAATATTAAGATTAGTCTCATGAAAACGAGGAAACGGAATAGTTTTATTTTATGCAGAATATGGTAAAGAAAAAACACAGGATAGAGTGGGAGTCGATCCACACCTAGGCAACAGTCAGAAGACTGTTCTAACCACTGCACTAAAGGTGTTTGGATGCAAGCAGTGTTTTTTAATTCATTGATAAATATCAAATAAGTATATATTACGTAAAGTACTACTATAGTACGACATCTATACAGTAAAAATAAAGATAACAGATAGGACCAAAATCTTGCCGGTGTAAAAGGGTAGGGGGTCCTATCAAATTATGGTCCTACTCTCCATTGATTTAATCGGTGACCTAAATACAACTCTATCCCTTATTATCTTATACACAATCAGGGCCAGTAAGGGCCTTTAAAAGGGGGACCATAATCCCTTGGGGGACTGTCAACGTATCTATAGCCCGTCAGTAAATATAGTCCTGGGTTATATTGTTTACCAATACAGTGAATATGGTCCGGTTAAGACCACACACCCTATGATACAAGGTCCGGAGGACCTGGTGTCCTAGTCTGTATGGTCTCCTGGACCATATATTCAGGGAGACTATATTTACTCTGACACCGGTGTAAAAGGGTAAGAGGTCCTATCAAATTATGGTCCTACTCTCCATTGATTAATATGGTGACCTAAATGCAACTCTTTCCCTTATTATCGTATCCACAATCGGGGCCAGTAAGGGCCTTTAAAAGGGGGGGGCCATAATCCCTGGGGGACTGTCAACGTATCTATAGTCCGTCAGTAAATATAGTCCTGGGTTATATTGTTTACCAATACAGAGAATATGGTCCGGTTAAGACCACACACCCTAGGATACAAGGTCCGGAGGACATGGTGTCCTAGTCTGTATGGTCTCCCGGACCATATATTCAGGGAGACTATATTTACTCTGACACCGGTTCATCAAATTCGCTTCATCAAACTAGATAGGTAGTAAAGACTTGAAACCTTTACTCAAAAGAGATGACAAATCATTCAATATTTATACATTATCATCACATACAAGTAAGAATTGTAGTTTTCTTTTTCAGGTGTTTTTTGTATAGGAAACCCTGGAAAAGTGGAAGTCCCTGATCTGAAGATAAATCAGAAGTAGGCAGACCTGTGAGTTCTTCTTTACCATGGTTTTATTCTGACCACGTTTAGTCATCCTCCATATATTGGGATATTATGATAGAAATAAGTAACCGTTAAAAATAGGCACGCATTCCACTGTATTAACTAAATTCATCCTAATATGTACAACAGATTTGTTCACAACACTAATGAATAGGGAAGGGGGCACATGACCCCCTGGCGTTTCAAAGTTTAAGAGATAAAATAAAAAGTAAGGTACTGCACCATATCATAGGCCATTCGTAAATTATCGAGGGAGGTGTCTAAAAAGGAGGTCAAATGGTGTCGAAGGTAGGTCAAAGTGCCATAGAGGAGCAGGGGCGGCGTAGCTGAAGATTTAGGCAACTAGACGCCGATATATATAATTCAAAATTTGGTGTGAACTTGCTCTAATACACTTCCTTATCACCTCCCCCTACCCATATTAACCTTTGTTTCTCATGACGTACCTGTATCAGTTTATGTTTACTTCTGTTCTTAATTTTCAACATATAACATACTTAGACTTTTTATTCCTTGCATGGGATGATTGATACTCAGGGGATTATTTCTCGAAAGTTGAAAGTTGTTTGTAAAATTTATTTAAAACTTGCATTTCTCGAAAGTTAGTAACTGCGAAAATAACTAACATTTTTCGCAGAGGTACTAAGATATATGACAGAATTTCTGTTCTCACAAATACTAGCACTTCTAAAGCAATTTACTCCTAGCAACTTGTTTGTAACAAAGATGATATTGAACATGTCTGAGCTTTTGTTCTTATTCTATGAGAACATAACTTGTATGATTTCAAGCAATTTCTGAAATAAAAACCCAAGTTATCCTAACTCAGCCACTATAGCCCGATCACCCCGATTTTTGCACCAAACGTAGTCTTTTATTTGTAGCTATAGCTACTTTCACAACTCGGGTATGGTAGCAAGCCCTAGGGGGTCGTATACAGAACGTACATAGTCTAGGAGTCAATTTGATATTATGTTTTCATTGATTTAGTTTCGGGTCACGTTCAAGTGAAAAGTTGAAATGTATGTATCCCCTATTTAATTGAAAAACATGTATCTTCAAAAAAGCTTAAACAAAAGGGAGTTAGAGTGGGGATAAAAATAAAGGATGAAGTGGGATAGTTTCTATATTTAACAGGAGCGCCATAACAATATAGACTCAGTCAGATTTGTCAGTGTTCAGTGTAATACCTACATGTAATACTCCCTTTTGGGGGTCATAGCCACTAAAACCTGTAAATAGGTTACATTGATTTAATAATAAAAAAAAGATTACGACTCATAACAGCAATGTGAACTCTGTTGAAAGTTGTATCAAATAAGTATAAAGTGGGACGTAGTTTTGCCACTATCAGACTATGGTACTGGCAAAGAAATTGGTATTTCGAGCATAGAATCTATAGTCAGACCAGACATGGAAAACTTTAAGTGGAGAGAGTAGATGGTAAACACTGCCCAGAAATGACGGGAGATTCGGGAGGTTCTGAATATGGAAATCTCAAAGTTTGTCAACCCTAACCATTCCACAATAAATAACGTGCTAAAGCTTATTTATGTTTGAATTTTTATTTGCATAATCTGTAAAGAAAATACTACTTTCAGGACTTGAAATATAAATTGACACCATTTCGAACACTTCCAATACCTCTCAATTATTTTCAACAATAACAATAGGTCAGATAAATGGTAGGGGGGGGGGGGGGGGGTAGGGTTGCCAAACTTATGGAGGGGAGTGTGTATATATATAATGCATTGGCGGAGACAAATGCTTTTATTTAATAACTACTTTTAATATTCTTGTGATGCTTTCTAGTAATTTATCATTTTTATGTAATAATACGTGGATAACTGTCAAAATCCGATGCGAAGCAGAGTTTTAGGGAGGTACGTTGGTAAGGTATATCCTGTATCTCAATTTTGAGGTTTCCATATTCAGAACCTCTAGAATCTTCCGTCATATCTCTCGCTCCTTGGCATCTTTCCACTTCCGGTAATTGAACAAAACTTTGAAAAACAATTGAAAAAAGTTTGAGTTATGTACGGTTTATTTGAAAATGGGGTTAATGACTCGGAAGATGCATATATCTCCCTCTAGATAAACACCATATCCAAAACATCCTAGTACACAATCCATATCTATGTAAAGAGGAAAATAGATTATACATGCATACAAAAGGAAACAATACACGTTTAAATCAAATATGCAAGGATACAAGGCATTTCTATTTTTCAGGTACTAGCATTTATGACATGCAGCACTCTACATAATCCAAACGCACTAGTATCTAGTATAGTATCTGGCAATGCGAATGGTATTTTTGCCACAGAAGTATTAAATGGTGTCACTGTAACTGTTAATCTAGTAAGAGGTAAGATTTGAAAGTAAAATTAGTATTCTGTTTGAATTGAAAGGTATTTGGCTTTGGATAAAAGGCTTTGAGAGATGAACTTATTCTCCATACACGTCTCACAAATATATATGACATAATAAAAAGGAAATAGCAATGCCAAAAAAGTCAGGAAAGTACTCATCGTGGATATTAAATATAATTCAGAGGTCTAGATAAGCTGTCGCCATTCGCCAATTGCGAATACTTTTAGCACCTGGCGAAGATATTGATCTAAATATTCGCAAGGTTGGCGAATATTTTTGTACTGAACCTACCCGCGAAACAGATAAATCATCCAGTTATCGAGGAAATTCTCCGTTTTCAACTTTCGTATTTTCGTAATTTCAGCCATGAGACGCCACAATTATTTTTGTTTCAATGGAAAATTAACACATGGAAGCTTCATAATATCTGTTGCGTTCGGTATTTTAATAAATCAGTTAAGACGCCACAACTTGTTTTCGGGTCAATGCAAATTTAACAGAAGCTCATATTTGCAAACCTGTTTCGTTCGTTTTTCTGTTGCATTCATGTCATGCTAAATTCAAAATTTTCTAAAGAGATTTCGAAGAATAATATGGTGATTTCTGGCGTATTAACCAATACCATAGCTTGTTATTTCTCACCCAGATAAAGAAAGATGTAAGGAATATGCTTACATCGATTAAAACAATTACAATTGCGTATTCATCCATTCTCAATAAGAATGCAAATTCCAGGTATGAATCTGACGAAAATTAAAGTAGCTTTGAATGGTTTAAAGTTGATGTATTTTTATTTGAATATATGTTAAGTATCTAAAGTCAAAATATCTTCATCAATCTCATACCCCTTCATGGAAAAGTCACATGTTGAAGCTTATCTAGTGTTTATTTAAAAAGTAGGTCTCTGTCATTTACGTTATAGAGGGTTGTCGTAGCAAGAGACCTATATTTTCATTCAACATATTATTCTCATGTCTGTTTTTGTTTCTAACAATAAGGATATATTTTGTCTTAATACTAAATCATACATCAAGCATTTTGAAGAGACATAAGTGGAAAGAATTCACATTGAAGTCAACAATTACATGTGACTTATTATTCCTTTTCAGAAACAAAACCTAAGTGCTACATGTCATTCCAATTTTATAGAAAATCAGTCTGTTAACATTAAATTTATCTTTCTTTTCTGATTAGAAATAGTGTTCAGAATCAATTGATAGCCATATCTTGGTGTTTGCTATGCCATACAAAATTTATTTGAAATTTGTATATCGTTACACCCTTGGTAACGTATATGATCCAAAAATAGTAACATCGTAGAATGAGTCATATCATATGTGATCATCGTGAAACCATCAACTGGTGCTTCTTTTATCATGTTTACACTGCATTTTAACCAATAGTAACATTTAAAACAAACATAGTTCAGTGGACCATCAAGTAACGTAAATGATGGAGAAATTGACCAACTTTTGCAATAGAAACATTAAAGCTAACACAAACATTATTTATGCACAAAACACGTAATGAATTAATATATTGTCACATACGCTATATGTTGGAATGAATATATACAGGATTAAAGGGACTTAGTCTTTCTTCACACAATTGTAATGCTAAATCCTTTGTAACGTAAGTGATTACAAAACTTACAATCGCAAGATCAAAACTATACTATATAATTTGTGATTATCGTCAAAAAGTAACAACATTCAGTGTCTCCCTCTAATATCATAGGTACATATGAACTCCTGAAAACGTTACTTAATCCTAGCTTGGACATATAAATCCAATAGAACACGAGTTTGAATCTCAGGACACAGATCTAGAGTTTAAATAGCCCTTTAAACTTCCCTGTTGGAATTGACTCCTCTACTACACACTCAAAATCTGAGACTCAGCCAAATAACGTAACATTCTAGAGACCATTGGAGATTCTTCTTTTCTTAAAAAATAGTATTTATTATCATCAGTATCTACATGAAGTGTCTTTTCGACATACCAACAGTAATTGTAAACTGCAGTGAAAAAAATCGCCAAGATGTAGCTCTTTATCTCCACTCTCAGTCTGCATGATGGCCCTGTCAGAATACTCTTGGATAGCTATGTTGTCTCTTCTTGTATGTCATTCCTGGTTTGTTTCACTTTTGTGAGGGGCGCTTTTAACACTGTTTATTTGATTCAACAAATTTATATTCCTTTTCTTGTGGTAAACGTCGAGTACTCATTTCATTTTTGTCCAGCCAAGCAAGGCCCTTAAGCTTGTATCACCTTCCATCGCCTTCAGTCATATTATATCAACTAGACTTGAACACTCTTTCAGGCATTTCCACGCCAGTCATGTTGCGTCTGCTTCAACTCTTCAACTACGTGTTTTCCTCGTACTAATCTTCTCCTCAACTCTAGGGATATCACTATGTTAAAGTTTGCATCGCATCACTTTTCCCCTGCACTCTTTGGTGTTTTGGCGTGCTTGGACCCTTGGTTCTATTTTTCTCTGCTTCTGCAAGATCCTTTGGAATGATTTGTCATTGTTTTTTCCATGTTTATCTATGTTCAGGGAGCAATGTTTTTTATGGGTACGTACGTCCCCAAGTTCTACTTATCCGTTCTTTAAAGAGCCATGCATGTCCTCTTGCAAAATTCCAGGCAAAATTTATATGAACTATTAATTGTGTGTTACTTGTACCACTGCCATAAACACGGTCACAATCATTGTTATCGGCATTACTTGGGTCATTGCTAACAGTCTCTCTTCTTTTTGATTTGCCTCCTGTATTATTACGCTATCTGAGACTAACATAACATGTCTCGGGCGCAATGCCATAATTTTTTCTTTTATGGTCTTTATCTTTTTCAGATAGTGCACTCAGCTATTGAGACAATGCATTTATGAACCCGAGCACGCTCTTTTTGGTGCTTTTTTCCTATCACGATAGTCTTTTTGAATTTCAGCAGGATGCTTTCCCATCTACGAAAAGTATACAAGTTGATAAATGAACATACCTGTAAAGATTTGACGACAGAAAATGTGTGCAATAGAATTTATCAATTACGTTACCTATGGTAACGTAATTTATGACATAGAAAACGCAAGACTATAGCTTCAATTCAAATTGAATGATAGAAAAGTGTTTTTATATTCATTTTCACATTTATACTGACTGTCTTTATGCCATAGATAACATCAAATTAACACTACATCTTCGTTTTACAAGAGAGATACTATATTAGGTGTGATATATACCTTAAATTGTGTGGATTTACTCTACAAAGGTGGTAGTGTTTCTTTATTCAGATTCAAATGAATATGAATACTCAAATTTCCCGCTTTATAAACTTTATTCAGAGCTAGGAGTATGGTAACCGTTATTTTCGTACTACTAGGTATCGTAAATGATGGTGTCGTAAATGATGCAAATACCCTTTTGCTGGCTGTATTATATTCAAACAATGTCAATTTCGTTAAAAATACTGATCAACAAGGATCACTCCTACCATACAATAAGGTGATATAACATTAATTTGCTCAGACACTTATTGCCTGTGAAAACTATGATCACGTAAATGATTTTCTTATCTATAACTTCATGAAAAACGGGAATTATAATTTTCTGGCCCCAAAATCTCAACGTTTCAAATATCAACTTTTACGACTTTCTATTAAGTATTCAAATTGGAATCCAGATACGTATATGGCACATATGAAACATTAATTTTTCACCAGTTTTTATTTGATTTATAGTACAGGGGGGTTGATATAAAAAAGTCTGGCGACATTGGTCAAGGAACAGTTCCAACATGGTAAAAATGTCAAAATGATAGTTTCTGTCATTTAACCAGAAGCTGGGATCGTCTTGTGTATAATACACCACTTTATATGGGATGTTATGCATGAAAAATTCTCTAATGGCACCATACAATCCTGATTTTTGATATGGCGACAGTCACGTAACTGATGAATAGCCCTATTCTAGTACATATAATAAAATATGTGTAACTGAGAAATCATATATTACAAACGTGCTAGGTAGAGGGTCATATATACTATTTATATATACAACAAAAAGTGATGTTGGTAATGTAAATGCTGAGATTGAGCCCTGGGTCACCTATTTTGCATTCTTATTGAGAATGGGTGATTATATTCGAAAACCGGTGAGAATTCGGACAAACGAATGTGGTAGACTAGCCTACATGTAAGCATTTCTTCTTGCACTTTCTGGGACCATTGAGGTCCCGGATTGGTCTTTCCGTCCAGAGATTGGAAGGCGGGGCAGCCTTGGTTGACATGCAATAGCGTTAGCGGGACGATGACATGTGAAATTTGTTTGAAGTACGCTTTCAATTTATGTCATTTGATAAAAAATGTTTTGGCTAATAATTTTTCAGAGTGGCTAATATTATTTTTTAGAAAATATTAGCCACATTGGCTAATAATTTTTTCAGCTTATCTAGACCCCTGTATAATTGTTTTTGAAATCAATAAACTGTGTGCATTTAAAGGCCCCGTGCATTTAAATAAATATGACTTTTCTTTGAAAATAAATGTATTCATCTTATAACTAACTTAACAAAATGATTTAATTTTGCAATTTAAATCGTTTTCAAGCAACTGACAAATGTTCTTATGACATCATAGTTTACAGCTATGGAACAATACAATATATACTACTCTAGCCTGTTTGAGAAATTTTGTATTGGAACGAGACAAAGTCGAGTGCCAATACAGAATATCGAGACAGAATATATCCTATATTGCACTTCACGTTTTTATCGCGTGATCCTCTGTATTGCTACTGAGATTGTCCCCTCCGTACCAATATTTTCTGTATTGCGACGGAGATGACAGACTGGAGATGACCTCATCATCAGTAGCTAGCAATACAGATTGGTACAGCACAAGAACTGACCAATCAGAGGGCTTCATTTTACGGATCATACGATAATATAAGTTATAGAATGATTTGAACTGCAATTTTGAATACAGGATATATTCTGCTCGAGAAATTCCGTATTAGAACGAGACGAAGTCGAAAATATATCCTGTATTGCACTTCAAACCATTCAGTAACTTATAATACAGCACTTGACACTAGAAAACACACTATTTTCTTTACCTCGTTGAATAGATCTGCATAAAGTGTGTCACGAGGATGTTTTTAAGGCCGCTAGATATTTTTCAAAAACAAAATATTTTCAGAACTTGATTATGAAACAACTCAAGTACACAAATTAGAAATCAGAGCTAGAGATGGGCCAGTTGGTGAACTTTGGGACGAAGAACTTACTATCGTTGTGCTAGATGTGAATGACAATTTTCCGGTTTGTGACAAGACAATTTACCAAGTTTCTCTGGGAGAATATACACCAAAATATACAGAGGTATGTATGCGTGAATTACAAAAAATATGTTAAAGTGCCCGCCGTTTCTGGCTACGTGTATTACGGATTTACACTAGCGGATAAGACTAGTTTATTTTCTATATGGGTGTAAAACTCCTCTCCATATTCGCGTTTTTCGTTTACTACAGTTACAATATCTGCCGAGGTTATATACCAGGATAAAACATGCATTGCCACGATATTTATCGTTGAGCGCACACTCAACAAGAGTAATTTGTCAACAGAAAAGATTGTGTTCCTGGATATTTTTTATACACGGATATTTTGTCAGTAAATACTTATTTCCAAGACCACGGTTAGATAATGTACAATGTCACAATTTCATCATAATGATTGTTTTCGGTGCTGCATTATTACATAGTGCTAATGCCCAATGCTATTACAAATAACGCGCTTTCTGATACAAAACACAAGTGCCGTTCACTACATGTACGTATTAGGGATCGCCAAGAGCGGATAGCGAGGGCGCGTCAGTCACTTTTCAATTCAAATTTCCAAAATTGTCACATGTCACATTTAAGTTTTTGGTCCTATTTTGTTGATTACATTCATTCATTACAGGCTAACAAAGCATCAAATGGATTGAAACGTCTGTTGTGTTAAATTTTTGTTTAGTTTGCTTACTAGTCAGAAGTCACCTTCACTTGTATCCATATATCAAAATGATCAGCCTAGTATTTTGTCACTTCATACTAATTTTCAGTCAGATGCGAATACCCAAATTCGACAATTGCAAGCACTTATTTGTCGTATTCGTTTTTTTAAATAATCCATAGTCGCAAATTGATTGTCTCAACAGCATATCAAATGAATGATGCTATTGGCCAGTTTAGGCCAAGATTGAGGACTATAATTGATCAAAAGTGTGGATATATTGAACATCTGTTTGTGTGAATAAAGTTGACAATGAAACTTGATTTTTGCAAGTTTTGGGATATAAATATAGGCCTAATATTTTTCGAAATTGTGTGTAGATTTTAATATGTTCTTGGAAAATACATATTTTAATCAAAATATTTTGTTAATGTTTTGTTGAGATATTTCCCAAATTTCTTTTCTCTGAAAGCATGGTACTACCTTTAAAGTAAGACCAGTCACTCATATTTGTATCTTGTTTTACGCATAACAGAGAATAAGATGTTTTTTGATATTAGAGTTCATTGATAACAATGTATTTTACCTTTGATGAATGTATACATGGAACCCTTCCCAAAACAACAGACAGACAAACAAGCAAACAAACAACCAAAAGCAAACAAAAGCAGTACTGTCACGGTACCCCAAAATAGGCTAAGTAAGAGATGAGTCCCCTTCAAACTGAAAATAATTTGTGTTATCCCGTGCTAGTACTCTTTGGATAATACACGTTTAACGATACAAAATATTTTTATTTTAGGTTTTAAAATTGAATTGTTCAGATGATGATGTGTCGAGCGACTATAATACACTGATATATAGGATAAAAGGTTCTTCCCAAGAATTTGGGATAGATTCTACGACAGGTGTCATTACAAATAGTAAAGGTAAGGTCATCATCCCGGTAAACATTAATGCCAAAGTTCAATTCCTTAATGTTGCTGCTAGGTACTAACAAAGAAGTAAAGAAGAATTCGCACACTAGTACCAAATATGGTGACACGGTCATTCCTCACACGTAATGCTAGTTACATTCAGAATTCTGATTTGTGTAATATTTGATCGGTAAATGTACTTGAATTAGGTTTTTGTTTAATTGGAGAATGTTCTAAAGTGGAACATAAAAACCAGGCAAGATGCCTTCTTTTTAAAAGTGTGAATTGAAATATATTCAAATATCCACAAAGGACATTCTCAAAAGATTCCTCTCCGAGACTGAATATGATCGAAGCGAATTCAGTAGGGACTTAAGTGGACATTGACGCATATCCTTTAGTTTGCCATTGTTTTTATAACGCGAGTATATACTTGTTTCAGCCTTAAACGGATCGGATAAACCATATAATTTGACGATTGACGTAAGCGATGGAAACAATCCTACAGAAATAACAGTATTAATCAATCATGGTAAGGTGTTATATTATAATAAATAACAGTATTAATCAATCATGGTAAGGTGTTATATTATAAGAAATAACAGTATTAATCAATCAAGGTAAGGTGTTATATTATAATAAATAACAGTATTAATCAATCATGGTAAGGTGTTATATTATAAGAAATAACAGTATTAATCAATCAAGGTAAGGTGTTATATTATAATAAATAACAGTATTAATCAATCATGGTAAGGTGTTATATTATAAGAAATAACAGTATTAATCAATCAAGGTAAGGTGTTATATTATAAGAAATAACAGTATTAATCAATCATGGTAAGGTGTTATATTATAATAAATAACAGTATTAATCAATCATGGTAAGGTGTTATATTATAATAAATAACAGTATTAATCAATCATGGTAAGGTGTTATATTATAATAAATAACAGTATTAATCAATCATGGTAAGGTGTTATATTATAAGATATAACAGTATTAATCAATCAAGGTAAGGTGTTATATTATAAGAAATAACAGTATTAATCAATCATGGTATTATAAGAAATAACAGTATTAATCAATCATGGTAAGGTGTTATATTATAAGAAATAACAGTATTAATCAATCAAGGTAAGGTGTTATATTATAAGAAATAACAGTATTAATCATGGTACGGTGATTTAGTATAAGAATTAACAGTATTAATCATGGTAAGGTGATATATTATAGGAACTAACAGTATTAATCATGGTAAGGTGATATATTATAAGAAATAACAGCATTAATCATGGTAAGGTGATATATTATAAGAAATATTATAAGAAATAACAGTATTAATCAATCATGATGTGCCAGGTTTGAGGTTCCTTCTGGGGAATTCATTTAATATTCTTTTTTGCCATATAGTTCTTTTCTTCTTTAAGATTTTTATAAGAGCTTCATCTTAATCACTTAATTTGGGCATATTGTCTCATTTTGGTCCAGGGCCTCTGAAATTAAAAGATATGATACCATCATTTAGCTACTTGTTCATAACTGAAATGGTTATCTTTGTTAATCTAAAAATGAAAATAAACAAATGATAGTTAAATGAAAAGATATAAGTATTATGGGTGAATTTTGCACTAAACTTGTATTAATGTACCTCTTTTGATGGTGCCCAAATTCAAATTTCCCTCCATTTTTCACCATTTTGAAATCCGCAGTCAATAATTGTTGGTCCCTCATGACACACCCGGTGTCAATTTTAGGCTCTCACTCCACAAGAAAACAAAAGTTTTTCAATCGGATGGTGTCATATTGTTAGGAAATGATTTACCTTTAAAATGATATGTAATACAAGGCATAGCTTAACATATATTGTATGATATTCATCTTTAAAGTTGGGTATTGTTTTTTTGGCCCAAAATGCCACTTCAGTCAAGACACCTAAATTGGGGTTCTGAATTTAAGAAAGATAGACCGAAAAGCAGGGGAAATATTGTTGAATACACCCCGCATGGCTAGTCACAAACACAGCAAAAAATGTGAATCAAACCACTGAATCCTGGAGCCAGGATTCATACAGGATTCATATGCACATATGAATCCTGTATGAATCCTGCCTCTAGGATTCATACAGGATTCGCTGTTTAAATAGTTTACAAATGAATCCTGCCTTCAGGAATCATACAGGATTCATATGCAATATAGTTTACAAATGAATCCAGCCTCCAGGAATCATACAGGATTCATATGCAATATAGTTTACAAATGAATCCTGCCTTCAGGAATCATACAGGATTCATATGCAATATAGTTTACAAATGAATCCAGCCTTCAGGAATCATACAGGATTCATATGCAATATAGTTTACAAATGAATCCAGCCTTCAGGAACCATACAGGATTCATATGCAATATAGTTTACAAATGAATCCAGCCTTCAGGATTCATACAGGATTCATATAGAAGGTAGTTTGCAAATAGATCCTGTAGCCAGGATCCAAGCAGGATTCATATATAATATAGTTTACAAATGAATCCAGCCTTCAGGATTCGTACAGGATTTAAACGGAAATTGATGTGCATGTTTTTGTTTTAACAGTTATCATTGGCGTGTCGCATATATTACGCCAAATGCGCACAGGCGTACCAAATGAAATCGAAAATTTAATAAAAATGTGTAATTATTTGAGAAGCTACCTTGTGCATAAATCCCGCATGATTCCTGAAGGCTGAATTCATTTTGTAAATTATTCAAATGGCGAGTCTTGCATGACACAATCTATTTTTAATTTAATTTAAAGATAGCCATATTGTTTTTCAGTTTTTGTCCTAATCAGTTGTTGCGTTTAAGCAGAACTCTAGTATTTTAAATCTGTTTGATAATGAAGCTTGAACATTTGTTTTGTAACTAAGCGCGCGATCGGCACACCGATGGGCCGCCGATGGGCATTCCGATCGGCATTCCGATGGGTATTCCGATGGGCGATGGGTATACCGATCGGCACACCTATCGACATGCCCATGCTATTGCTCCATCGGCACCTCGGTCGGCACATACATAATGTAATGATAATACCATCGGCACTGGTCGATCGTATAACACAGATCAATAATTAAAAGCTAAATTAATTGTTTTGCATAATGCGATCTTTGTCTTATCTTCATTCTAGGTCTTATATAATTTTATGCTTAAATCATCGATCAGAGACATAAACCAGTTTTATATGTCTCTGCTCAACCCATCGTCAGTTCCCACGCTCAATCACTACGTTTTAGGATAGGTCCGAAGCTTGATGAAGCAAGATGGCTTAAACATACATGTAGTAATAATTTACAACATCAATGGATATAATTACACAGTCACATGTACTTTGTTATTAAATTCAGAAACGTTTACGGCCCGCGCGTATTTTCGGATTTTAAACTTGATATTGTTTATTGAATTGTTATCTAGATTCTTCTTCTATTTTTTTTTATTTGGGAACGTATAATTTTATTATTAGAGTACCCAGGAAAGCAATACGAGGGGTGATCCAAAAGTCTTGGACGCCCCGCTCTAAATTTGCTATTTTTTGATATAATTACATGAAACTTTCAGACAATAAATATCATCATCTTAACAACTTTATGTATAAGTTTCAACAGAAAATAATATATTTTTGCTACTTTTCTACATATCTTTTAATACCGGGTCCCTGCCACCCGGAACGGTATTTGAATATAGCAAATCACGTCACAACTCTTATAATATGGCAAATACTTTAGGTGCAGGTGCACAACCTAACACCAGCCATGATATGAGAGAATTTTCGATTTTCAACCTGAGTGTCATCTGCCATCATCATCTTCACATATTAAGACCTACTTTTCAACATATTTTCCGCGAATTTGAACACATTTTTCATACCACTTTACCAATGAATGGAAGACATTTATGAAACCGTCAGTGCTTATGTGATACAAATGCTGCTGGAGTTCTACTCTAAACCTCATTCAATGAGTAAAAAACATTTTCTTTCAACCATCTTTTCAACTTGGAGAAAAGGAAGAAAATCACATGGAGCTATAGATAGACTGTATCGTGCATATGGTAGCTGCTCAAGGTCAATAATTGTGAAAATATCTTGAAGTATTCTTTGTTCCACTTTGATTTTTTTGTGTTCTGCATTTCAGCAGCCATCTTGCAGCAAAAATGATACCAGAATGAGGGTTGCTTGTCTGATGGCATTTTCTTAGAATTTGACATGTGCGGCCTTTGTCATATGTGACATTATAATTACAACACAATTAAATGGTTTCCTAGTAACAAAGGAAGTAAACTAACATGGTTTAACATTCAAAATTCAAAGAAATATAGTGGTCAAGACTTGTGAAACAAGTGAAATGGCGGTAACATTCAAGGCTGAAAGTTGCCATGTGCGAATACCGTTCCGGGTGGCAGGGTCCCTGTATTAAAAACTATCTAGAAAACTGTACAAAATATATAATTTCTCCATGAAATTAATACACAAAGTAGTTTGGTTGTTGGCCTTTATTATTGGAAAGTTTAAAGTAATTTTATCAAAAACCAACAAAATTAGAGCAGGGCGTCCAAGACTTTTGGATCACCCCTCGTACATGTACAATAATTCAATATTACTAATAATTATTAAGCTCATGGCCACTTGGCTTTGTGTATTTCCATACTCATTTATAAAGTCCAAAAGACGAGCGAGTTCGTATAAATAAATAACGCAAACCACGTTCTTAAAGTTTTTATTCAGAATCGTATTTTATATTTAGTATAACTTTTTATTTATTAAGTTACAGAGACAAGCGGGCACATATAGGTTTGTTGCAAGACCATTTCTGCGATGACCAAGGACCATATTTTGGTTTTATAACGGGGATATTGCTCGAGCTTGAATAACAAATAAAAGACATGTTCTTATTTCTGTATTCTGTCCTTTGATTGTGTATTAAGTTGTGCTGCACGCCAAACGTTAAGATTGTTAAAACACTTAAGATAAAACTTTATTCCTTTCAATTTACATAAAAATGAAACAGACTAGATTTGAAGTTCAGTCACACCAGCCACTGGTCAAAGGAAGTACAAATATCTAGACTAATCAAATGTCTGAGAATTCAATAACTGTCTGGGATCCAATGTTAATTTTATTGAATCAATCTAAGAAAAGTATAAAGATGGATTTTAAACTTTTAGAGGGAAAAGCTAAATATGCATTGTAAACCAAAAAATAATTCATCAAAGTGTCACTTGTGACGTACATATTTCATAAAAACGAATAAAGCACAACTCTAATCATGAAGTCGTATCGGCGCTAAACGACCCTCCCAAAAAACGCATCGAAGTAGGGAATGCTTGGTGAATTCTTCCGAGACTGACTTTTGTTATTTCAAAATTGAAATATGCCAAATTCCTATAAAATAATCAAATTACCACGCGATATTTTCCCTGGGGTTTACTCTATTTTAGATTTACAAGAAACATGTTTATTTGAGGTTGTGATGATTGCGTTTGCTTCTCACGAGTTCAT